CATATGCTCATATTATAATCCAAAAACATCTAACAAAGAGAGCCTCTCAGAATTTGAAACAGCTGTAACTAGAGCCTCACAAAACAATGCATGCTTAATGATTGGGGGTGACTTCAACCTACCAGGATGGAACTGGACAAACAAAACAGTCCGCCAAGGAACTCAACATGCAGAACAACATTACCAGCTTACAGATATTCTTGATGACAATGGATTAACTCAATTAGTACAAGAGCCAACTAGAAATAAAAACACTTTGGACCTTCTTATAACCAACTGTCCTAGTAAAATGATGAGACTTGATGTCATTCCAGGAATTTCAGACCATGATATTGTGTATGCAGAAATGAACACCAATCCAATGACAAACAAACAAAAGCCAAGAAAAATCCAACTGTATAGAAGAGCTAAATGGGACAGCATAAAAGAGGATATGAATTTGCTTTATATCAAAATTCAAAAAGAAAGCCTGAACAAGAAGACAAACATCAATATACTCTGGAACATGTTCAAAGAAGACCTAGAAAGCAGTACTAACCAGCATATACCTTCCAAAGTATGCAAGACTAAGGACAAAAACCCATGGATAACCCAGGAAATCAAAAAACTTATGAGACAAAGAGACCGAGCTTATAAAAAGAAAAAGAAATCAAACCATGCTACTGATGTTAAAAGATTTAAACAACTGAAACAAACCATCCAAAGAAAATCAAGACAAGCCTATTGGAAGTATATAGAAGACATAATAACTCCAGAAGATAACGAGGACATCCGTTCACCAACAAAAAGATTCTGGACCTATATCAAACACAAGAAAAGTGATAAAAATGGAGTAGCACCACTTAGAAGAAATGGGAAATTAGAAACTGACCCAATAAATAAAGCAAATATTCTAAATGATCAATTTCAATCAGTCTTCTCTGCTGCATGTCCAATCAGTAAACAAGATTTTGAAAAGAAAAAACTCATGTCAGATCTACCAGAAAATTATCCAGACAGCGAACAAATAATCATCACAATTAATGGAGTGGAAAAACAGCTGAAAAATCTAAAACCACACAAGGCTGCTGGACCAGACAACATCAAGCCAATGATTCTGAAAGAACTAGCCAGTGAAATTGCTCCAATCTTAACCATCAATTTTTCAATGGAGGAAGGAAAGATACCCGATGACTGGCGAACTGCAAATGTCACTCCGGCATATAAGAAAGGCCAGAAATACATAGCAGCTAACTATAGGCCAATATCCCTAACATGTATTTGCTGCAAAATAATAGAACACATAGTCACCAGTAACATCATGAAACATGCAGAGGTAAATAACATACTATACCCATTACAACACGGCTTCAGAAGTAAAAGATCATGCGAAACACAACTCCTTGAATGTATCGATGACATCACAAAAAACCTGGAAAACGGAAAACAATCAGATCTGCTAATACTTGACTTTTCAAAAGCTTTTGATAAGGTGTCCCACAGCTTACTCCTCCATAAATTACACCATTATGGCATCCGAAGTAAAACAAACAAATGGATAAAGGAATTTCTCACCAATAGAACCCAGGTAGTAGTTGTTGAAGGCGAAACATCTGACAAAGTAAAAGTAGAATCCGGAGTACCGCAAGGATCAGTATTAGGACCCAGTCTTTTTCTGTTCTACATCAACGACCTACCAGAAGGCTTACACTCCACAGTGAGACTGTTTGCGGACGATACTGTGGTATATTTGACAATTTCATCAGACAGCGACTGCCATAAACTCCAAGAAGACCTGGACAAACTGGCAAAATGGGAAGAACTCTGGAAAATGGAGTTCCATCCTGAAAAATGTAGTGTCCTCACTGTTACAAAAAAGAAAAAGCCAACCAAGTGGGACTATAAACTCCACGGCCATACTCTGGTGCATGAAACATCAACTAAATACCTAGGCTGCACCATCGCAAATGATCTAGATTGGGGAGAACATATAAACAACATCACAGGAAAAGCCAGCCGAAGCCTTGGTTTCCTACATCGAAACCTCCACATTAGCTCAAAATCCATCAAAGAGCATGCCTATAAAATATTAGTAAGACCGCAAATGGAATACGCCACGACAGTATGGGACCCGTACCAGCAAAACCACATAGATAAAATTGAAAAGGTACAAAGAAGAGCTGCACGATATGTAACCAGCAGACATAGAAATAGATCAAGTGTCAGCAACATGATAAATGAATTAGGATGGAAAAGCTTACAAACAAGACGAAAAGAAGCACGACTCATCATGTGTTACAAAATAACAAACGACCTTGTAGCCATAGACAAGAATAAATATCTACAAAAACCAACAAGAAGCTCAAACCGGACAGGACAACATACTTACCTATTACAGCCAGCCACCAAAGACTGTAGGAAATGGTCCTTCTTCATAAACACCGTCAAGGATTGGAACAAACTGCCACCAGATACCGCCACAGCAAAGTCTCTTGAGATATTCAAGTCTCAAGTCACCAAAACCACAAACTAAATCAACAGAACAATTTGTTTTTATCCTGTTTTTAACCTGTTTTTAATCATGCGCAACTTGCCAGAATATTCATCATGTTGAATGTGGGCAGTATATGGAAGAAGAAGAAGAAGAAGAAGAAAACGACAGACCATAGTACTAGTTATTTAAAAAAATATATATATAATTACACTTTCCGTATCAAGTTAGTTAGGAAAGGTTGCACAACCATGTCTATTATAATCTTTTTTGTGACCCGGGAAACTGTTTATGCTTTCCTTGTCGGATAAAACAACCGTACGCTTGACAAGATATCGACACTCAATTACGGCTACGTTAGGTTACTGCTTGTTTTGGTACTTTGTGGTTTATAGATATATCGTGGTTTCTATTCAGGGAGGATGTCAAAATGGCCGCATGCAGAGAATTGATACTCTAAATTTAAAATCGATGGTGATCTCTTATCTAGCAGAATAAAACTTTAATATTTATGAATTTGTGCTTTTTTATACATAACGAACATAATATCAATTTTTCATTTTTTTGATAAGTTTCCCTTTAATAAACTTTTATAATTTATTTGCAATATGCACAAATTATTACTTAATTGTCTTCTGCTTCTTATTATATTTTACAATCGTTTTAATTTTCAATTTGTTCATTATTACAGATTATAAATAGAAAAAAAATCTTATTTCTGACATAAAATTTTGCTATGTTCCTACGGAAATTTGTAACTTCCAAATTTATTTTTGTGGGGTTCGACCAATAAAATTGAAAATGACAATGTTTATACTTAGATATCAATTATAACCCATTTAGCATGTCAGAATTTTTTCATATGTAACATCAATCAACCTATAAGGTTCCGGAAAAATTTTTCAAAATAAATAAACTGAGTTATTTCCTTTAAGAAAATGAGAAATTGACTGGTCTTTGAACCTCAAAGACAATTTGACAATTTATCAATCATTGGTCACCCATTTTGATATGAAACTTGAGCTGTTTTGAAATTGTTCTTTTAAAATGTTTTGCATCATTAATTGGAAATCTTTGCTAGTTTTATTGCTGCATTAGATGCTATATTGAATATTTGAGAAGGACGTCCGGTATTTCTATTTCCCCCACAATGTGTCGTGCAGGGGATAATTATGCAGTGAAAGAATCATGGCCAGTCAAAGCACCTAATAATGAATATACAGGTAGATGAATATTCAAGCAACACAAGTAACGAACAAATTCATATTTTTTTATATACTTTATTCAGTTTGTAATTAATAATTATTAAAGGAAATTACTTTATAATTATTTGATACATAACAAAGTACTGTTTGATTTCTGGCATAACAGTTGAATGAAATACATTTATAAAACTCTTTTTCACTGTGGAATGTCTACAATAGAGTACATGATGACATCCGATTATGAAACCTAAGAAAAACACCCTTAAATACTGAACTAACCAGGTTGCATAGAATTCCTTTAAAAATCAATTAAAACTACTAAATGTCAACATTTTTATATGTTTAAATATCAAGAAGTGGAGAGTAACATAATGTTTGTTTATATACAGACTAACAGTTTTAGAACAATCCACTCAGCTAGTTAAAAAATTTTATAGGTTTTTTTTTGTCATTACAGAGGTAGCTTTCTGTCTACAATACCAGATTAAATTGCTGATGTTACTGTTAGCAAGTTGAAAAAAATAAATGGGGAACGTGTCTATGGGACACCAGATGATGCCCCCGCTTGCATATCATATAAAGTTATAATGGGAAATAACTGAAGAACGGTAAAAGTGACGCTACCTAAATTTGTACTTGATCTGATTTTGTGGTAATAAGTATTGTGTATAAGTTTCATAACATTTGGTTGAGGCAAACTTAAGTTTGAGAACGGAAACGAAAAATTCAGCAATTTTTCCATTTGTAAAGGGGCATAACTCTAGAACGGTTAAAGTGACACCACCAAAATTCAAACTTGATCTGTATTTTGTGGTTATAGGCATTTTGTATAAGTTTCATAACATTTGGTTGAGGCAAACTAAAGTTAGAGAATGGAAACGAAAAATTCAGCAATTTTTCCATTTGTAAAGGGGCATAACTCTAGAACGGGTAAAGTGACACCACCAAAATTCAAACTTGATCTGTGTTTTGTGGTAGTAAGCATTGTGTATAAGTTTCATAATATTTGGTTGAGGCAAACTAAAGTTAGAGAACGGAAACGAAAAATTCAGCAATTTTTCCATTTGTAAAGGGCATAACTCTAGAACAGTTAAAGTGACACCACCAAAATTCAAACTTGATCTGTGTTTTGTGGTAGTAAGCATTGTGTATAAATTTCATAATATTTGGTTGAGGCAAACTAAAGTTAGAGAACGGAAACCAACTTTGGGACGTACGGACAGACGTACAGACAGCCAAGGGTAAAACTTAATGCCCCCTCCGCTACGGCGGGTGCATAAAAAGTCTGTTAAATTTATCAGTTGAAAGAAAAATACATATGGTAATAGGTTGAAATTGTGTAACTTTATTAGTTGTATGTATAATATATGGCCATAATTGTATGGCAATCCTACACATTGGTAAACAAAGTTTACATTGGTAAAATGTAACAAAGTTGAGTCTTTCTTGAGCTTGGAGACAGATATTGCAACATCTGTGACAGCCTCGTATAATATATAATATTATCATCAATTTTTAAACAGTTCATAATAAATGAACAAATATGTTTTAGTGTGCACGACACATAAATCTGTAACGTAAATGATAAAGTTAGCGAAGATCCAAAAAGAATACAGTAACCCAAAACATCAAAATTATTTAGTAAAATAAATGTCAAATAACCTTGTTTGAAAAACTCTAATTTTCCAAGGAACCTTAAGCATGTTAAGAGAAGAAATTTTCCCTAAATTTCATTATTTGTAAACAGTTTGGTTAAAAACATATATATACCATTGACACAACTTTTCATTATGACCCTATCTAGTATGTCATGGAAGTCTGTGAACAACTCATGTGAAATCATTAGATAGATTAGTAGCTTGTAATACCTTGAATTTAAGATTGTACATTGGTGACTTTCAATACCTTACTTTTCAGTAAAAAATCAAATCAGACTTGTGAAAATTTTTGGAAATTAATTGGAAATTTTGTCTGGTACAAAGGTACCATATTAGTTATGTTTTATAATGCACCTCATTAAATATCATTTATATAAAACATAAGTTTCACTGTAGATCATTTACCAATAAAAATAGCAATCTTGGAAACAGTCTTTTTAATTCCTATAGACCAATGGAATATACCATAATTAACTAAAACCAGATTTTTACAGAACACTGAAGATTTCTCAGATATACTTATTCTATTATCAATATAGACACCGATTTGTGTTTTCAGGATATTTGTTTTATGCATGTTATGTATGCAAAAAGTTTCCATTCAGTCGCAGTGTTAATTGGATTATAAAATGTTTCTTTAATAATTTTAATTCAACTATTTTTGAGTCAACAATCAAAATTGACTATAACCAATAAACAGACACCATTGAATGTAATTTTATACCCATATCATACAACAAATATGATATTCATGATCATTTCTTGTCTATCAAATAATATTGCTAAAATTATAATGGCTGTATCATAATCTTTCAAGAAGTATATAAACTGTAAAACTAAAATAAATATCATTAATAAATTCACACAAAATAACAGTTTACGATTAATCACAGAATTCAATAAAGCCCTAATGAATGAATAAAACAAGTGAAGTCATTTAAAACATCATACAAATCTATGAAATAATCTTCCGTTTACATGCTATCACACATTGAAAGTTCATCATGGTTTACACGGGAATAACTTTCAGCTATTAACATAATTTTTGTCATTTAGCAAAATAAATTTGTGGATAACAATAATTTTGACTGACTAGTAATGATAGAAGACTGACTTTGACTGCCACGTGTGATGAATATATTTCACAGTGTCAATCAGGTCAGGTCAGTAATACAGAAGAAATCGGAGCTTAAAATCAACCAAGGGTAACATATTGCTTTATATACATATATTTAATTCTGAATTTTCTTCAATTGCATTTGTACATTATAGGTACATCAAATCACTAACAACTCAAGTAAAGATATTGACTAAATACACTTCATAAATAAAATTTCATAAAGCATTAGTGGTTCAGTAGCTGTCAGTGGTGGATCCAGGGTTTTGAAAAAGGGATGGGAAAATCAAAATAAGAAATGTCTATGCAGTGATAATATTTGTTTCTTTATAAGGACCTCAGCTAAATCTACCACTGTTGCAACCACCACACGATTGTGATACAGCTGTCTTGGTTTCTATATCTGTATATAGAAATTGTTTTGGACCTATAAAATTCCAAGGCCTGAAGTAGAACCTGACTTTGGGGAGGAGTAGTTTGAGGCACATGCCAAAAAATACACCTAAAAATAAATTTTGATGAAAATGACATTTGATGTAGTATTTCGACCCATCAGGGCACCAAGAACAAATTAAGTCTTTTGGACAAAATATGCATCCAGAAACATTTTGGACAGTGACCCTTCCAACATATAATACTCCATTTGACCTCTATCATGGTATATACAACAACTTATAAAAATGTCACATTACATCAAGTTACACAAATGTTTTGCAATATCTCTTTGGTTTAAAAATGAATGATCTTTCAACTAAAAGTTTCTTTTTCTGTCTCAGTGTTGCTTACATTCTGTTATGTACCTCTTTCGAGAAGAGCAAGTAATTGCACATTCATAAACATTATACTGGGTCTTGGAATCCATAGAATGACGGGGGTTGGTGCATTCTTAATGAATTTCAAGTGCTGATAATATTGATTAATCAAATGCAATAGAAGTACAATTCTTCTCTCAGCTTTGTAAATGATCATTTCTACACTTAATTTTCATAATGTTTTATAAGCTTAACATTTGAATTAAAATAACGCAAGTTCAGACATGGAATTATTTCTTACTAGCTCATGCAAACATGTTATACATTGTAGTTACTCAATTTAATGAAGCAATTTTTATGCCCTGCTTATTTATTAATTGTTAATTAAAAAGAATGGAAAGCATATGTTTTTTCACTGAACACATTTTGTTAGCATCTTTTTCTTTTAACTCTAACTTAACAATAAATGAGATTTTTACACCAGGTTTTTATCAAAATTTAAATGTTGTTCACAGTTATAAAATAAATGCACCACATTGAAAAACTCCAGAAATCAATTTGATTAAAGGGTACAAAAAAAGGTGCAGCTGACAAATGCAAGTGATGACTCACGTGGCCACTGAAGGCTAGTAGACTTAAACAATACGTTAAGTTATAAAAGGCACTAAAATATTATGTTTAAAATGCATAGAGAACTAATTAGTGGAGTCGTTAAATATCTGAAACTCTTGACTAGTTTAGTTTCCTGCAAAAATTAAATATTCCACTAATTGAATTAAAATTATGATTTTTTTTTTTTTTAATATGCATTATATGTAAATAAATATACATTTAATTCTCATGTCAATTAAAAATGTCTACAAAGTGTGATACAAATCAATTTTTTACTATCAATTATCTTGGATATTAAGTTTAGATCTACAAGCATTCAGAATTCTTTAACAAGACTATCACACATTCTGGAGAAAAATGATTATAAGAAACCAATAATGCAGGTACAAATATCATTTGTTCAGCGATGATATTGGCAGGTGGTAAATGAGACATACTATATTGGCAATTTCTCGTGCAAATAGAGATCTTTGTCACATTCAATTTATCAATGTTTTAACATCCAAATTTACATACAGCAATATCTACACCCAGCATCCATCACTTTTCCTTCACATTATTTTCATTTAATATTGCAATCACTCTGCACTTGGTTTAATTAATTATATAAATATGTACACCTAAATTGGTTTATATAGTAATGTTGTCACATATTTTTTCCTAAATCGATGAGTCGCACTCAGTACCATTACTCCATCCTGAAAAATATCAAACTTAATTAGATAACTTTAACAAAACGTTATTTGAATTACATTAATGATAATATTTATTTAACAGCTTATTATGGTTATTTACTGATAAGTGATGAAAAATTAAAAGAAGAAAGTAAAGAACCTGTATGTAATTTTAAAGAAGTCATCCAATCTTTGTGGCCATTTGTACTTTGCATGGAGAACTAAGTGGACAAGTGTGTCTTTGGTCAGTGTTTACATGTAAGATTGCAGGAGATATTAGCTGTGTATAATGGAGTTTTGGTGACCCTTCACTGTACCTTGTATTAAACCAGTTCTAAGAAAAAGAGAGGCAAAAGATACCAAAGGTATGAAGATAAGTAGTCTATATTTCAAAATCTCCCTTTTTCATAATTCCCTTCCTTAACACTCTCTTTTTCAATTGCTGGGCTAGGCCAATGTCGGAAATTGCAATTTCTTATTTCATCTGGGACAAAATACAGATGCTGGCGATACTTCTGGTGCCAACATTTCCCATGTCAAATTTTTCATTTCTGGATTGTTATGTAATAAAAGAACAATGTTCCCAACGTTGCAAATATTTTATCTATCCAAAGTACAAGGGCAATAACTAAAAAATACACACTTTTTGGGGTTCTTTAAAACAATTTATTAATATCTTAGAGAAATGAAGGCTTCAGAGCAAATGCAATGCGATTTCCGTTATAATTAATTAATATTTCCAAGGGGCATAACTCATTTAATAAATTGCTTCGCTGAGCACAGCTGGATACGACCGCAGATGTCCAACCCTGAAAAGTTGGGGCCAAAATGGACACAATATTCACGCTTGATACAGGTCTGAATTTGGATTGTAATTAAATTTTTGACACATAATAGGTTTCTGACACAGAATAACTGTAGTCAAAGAACTTCAAATTGGTTTTATGATTTGAATTTATATTCATTTTTTTGCTTTTGTGCAATACACTATATGAATTGACCCCCCCCCCCACCCAAAAAAAATTTACCCCCTTTTTTTTGCGTTTGTGCAATACACTACGCTGTTGGATATTAACCCCCCAAAAAAAAAATATTTGAAGAAATTTTCTTTCAATTTCTGAAATCTGAAATGAGAAAAATTGTCCCCCTCCAATTTTTTTCACCTCCCCCCTTTCCCTTATTCAAAAATAATAATTCTTTACCTCAAGTTATGGTCAGTATCTCAGACAATCATCATTTCTAAATACATAATTTACAAGCAGTGTAAGGGAGGTAATCAAACATTGTTATTTAAATTGATTTGGATTTTGATTTGGATTACCTCCCTTACACTGCTTTTAAATTGTCTCAATTGTCCTTTAACCAAAAAAAACCCTTGTTTTTCCCCTTAATTCCTAAATGGTTTGAGCCATAACCCCCCAAAGTCAATCCTAACCATCCCTTGGTAGTATGGAAACTTGTGGTATAATTTCAGAGAGATTCATACACTTTAACACAAGTTATTGTCTGGAAACTACAAAAATGCTTATTTGGGCCCCTTTTTTGGCCCCTCATTCCTAAACAGTTGGGACCATAACCCCCAAAATCAATCCCAACCTTCCTTTAGTGGTTATAAACCTTGTGTTAAAATTTTATTGATTTCTATTTACTTATACTAAAGTTATTATCCGGAAACCATCTGTCTTCGGACGACGCTGACGACAACAACGTGATACCAATATACGACCGACCAAAAAATTTTAATTTTTGCGGTTGTATAAAAATATTTGATCAGCACTCATTTTCCAACTCGTCAAAGACATTGCTGATATAAACCTATGATATAAGTTTCATAAAATTCCAAACTGGAGATTTTTCAGGCTCCATCTTTTTTGGAGCCAGAGCAGCCCCTGAATGATACATTGTAAACCCCTGTTGCTGAAAAAGTCTTAAAAAACTATTTCCATAAAAAAGTTGTAGGGAACAAAAGAAACTCATTAAGTACATAGGGGAAAGATGATTTTATATCTGCATTACATGGGTTTTTCATTTTTTTTACCTTAACTGTTGATGTATTTTTCTTCCAAACTTTGTGTCTCCAAGACACCTGATGTTGGTCATTACAAAAACCAGCTGCCATGCACATCAGTATCATCATGCTTATTTTACAATGAATATTTACTGGTTTTGTTATTGCATTCCGTATGAATAAATATATCTCAGAGTGATATCTATGTCAGAATTGACAATGTGACATTATAATGAATAAATGCAAGATATTTTGTTTAAGCCATATGCATGTTTTACTCATACAACCATTTTGCTTAATATGAAACTTTTGACTATTCAGTTTAAACACTACAAAATTATAAAATTTAAAAAGCCTACATTCATTCCGTGGTTTGTATAGATAGCACCTGTTCTGTAAAAGGTTTGTTAATAACACTCACAATTTAAGTATTTAAAGTGAATGTGGATATTTAATTGTTCCTACATGAAACTATAAATAATAGCTAATGCTGTTTGTTGGATATGGGTTAGGACCTTGTTAACAAATCACATTGTTTTGGTATATGCTTTTGAAAATATTACCCAGAATGCATTATACTTTGAAATAGTGAATTTGGAGTTCCAAAAATCTCTTGCAAACATTTATGATATGGGTTGGTCAATTGGATATTGCTTTGAAATAGAAAATATCTTAATTTATGAACACTGGACAACAGACAGAAGCATATCAATTAAATGAAATGAATCACATCACTCAAAGGGTTAGAGTAGATTATCAAAATTACTAACCTTTATTGATAAGGCATACAAGTGATTCAACATAACATGATTAGGTTCTGGTAATAAGGTTGGTTCACACTGAAAATATATAAAATAATAAATCAGTAAAACTAGAGACTGAGGCAACTGTATAACACACCTGAATAATTATACCTACAGGGTACTAGTCTAAAATATGCAAATGTGATAAACAAGCAATTAACTAAGATGTAAGCTCAGTGTGTATAAGTCTGAACATCTTTAGAAATTTGTAATCTTTCGAGAACAATTTCTTTTTACAGTATTATTTAAATAATTGTTAATAAAATTTTCAATTGATACATTGTAGTAAAAACAGTCCTATTAGTTGACAAGATATTGCCCAAGATTTGGTTGAAGTTTGATAAATAACCAGTGTTTAGAATAAACTCTTGTGCCATGATCATATGATATATCAATCTACTAGCCATTGTTGTCAGATAGTAAAGGCCATTCCATTAACAAATGGCATAAACTCTGAATTTTAAGATTTTAGACTAGACGTGGGCCTAAAAAAAACAGAAGTAGCCACTGGTTCATTACAGGACTTTTCAGTTTGTTTAACTGAATTGTTTTAATAGTATTTTTCTATTTGTCATTTTCAACAGCTGCAATGTTGATTTGATGATAGAACATAACTTTTAATGTTCACTCCTATGAATGCTGCTGGTTAAACCTCCAATCACCCAAGCTATTTGGATGGAGAACATTTTTGCAAAGTTTTCAAGGAATTTAAGAGGACAAGTGATTGCAAAAGCTCACATTGGATGTTTGGGCCAGGTGAGCTAAAAAAAAAAGATGGGGGGGGGGGGGGGGGGGGGGGGGGGGGTAGATAACCTAAAACCCATATTTATTTTGTTTTTTTTTGTTTCTCAAACAGTTTTGGCAGCAGTTTGTAGACATACATTGTACATGTATATTGAATAAAACAACACATTGTTGTTATTTTGCTGGATACATACGTGGGCAGGAATATCTTTATTAAGTATGACTTGTAACAAATGAGGAGGAAGAATAGGTGGTCCAGTGACTTTCTCTCCTGGTTTCCTGACTGGTACTTCCTGCCCATATTCATCATCTAAACTTTCACCTGTAAATACATAATGTCTATCTAATATTTCATTGTAAATAGTTACAATATGATGAATCATATATGAATATTTCATTTTTCTTTTAAATGATCCAGATATCTAATTGAAATGTAATAATAGAAATGGAACACTTAATTATAGAAAGTAAAAAAACAACAACCATGTGGCATGGTTGCATTGTTTACGGGTACATCTATTTCTATTTCTTTTTTTTTTTCAAAGTTTTTTGCAGCCATAGACATTGTAGTTCAGATTTTTTGTATGCTATATACTTAAAAACTCAAATACATGTAGTCACATAACAATTGCATCCCTAAAAAAATCAGTTGGTTTACTGTGGCTATTTGTCTTTAATTTTCTGAAAATTTATAGTCTGCCCCTTTTTATAGTATTTTTATAGAACTGTTTTAGTGTTCTATCGAACTTTGGAAAATTCTTCCTCTTGACAACCAATCAAACAATAAGACTAACTAAAATATAAATGCATATATTTAAAATGATGATATCTGCATTTTAAAATACAACTTTCAATTAGGGCTCGTAATGATCAGATAAATCAACAATTTCTAAGAGCTATCATGACTGAGTCTTCTCTACAATGGCTACCTTTTTCTTGATGAAAAAAATCAAATATGTTAAAATCAAATGGGATGACAATTCTAGCAAAGTGGAAATCCGCCTGAAAACAGATATTTTTAATAAACATGAAATAGTCCTTTGATAGGTCTGATAAGGAATCATTAGGCATATAACAAGACCTGATGAAGCAATTTACATTTTTATTTAAATATATCAGAAATAAAATAAACTGTTGACACAGAGACATGTCTCCTCTGTATGTAATTTTGATAGTAAATTGCAAAAAATTGAAAATTGAAGAAAAAAAATATAACAATCTTAAATATGTTAAACTATCAAAGTCAATGAGCTATGACTGAAGGTGCAGGGCCACATAATCTCCTCTGAAATGAGATTTGCTAATGCTTATGTCACTGCATACCAAATATCATTGACTAACTATTAGAAGTTCCCCTTCAACTGACCTGATCAAGAACTTTTACAAATTGTTGACAATGCAATTGTCTATAGCACCCCTATATATATATATACCTAGTGCCTGAATTTGCCTCCATTACTTTGTCAAGGTAAGACAAAAATAGATGACCACCAAGGAAATTTTTTTTATAGTAACATAAGGGTGCATAGATGAAAGTTTAATGTCCAGTGATAATGTTTCAACCATATTCAAAGACAAGAACATGCTGATGTGATACAGATATGAACAATGCTTTTTACATGCATTACACCCAACATACATTGTACTAACTTGCTAGCTCACAAGGTTAACAGTTTAAAACACGTCATCCCATATCACACATTTTTTTTTACTTATAAGTCAAGCAGTCTCTGTTCTACTCCTAAAAAAACAGGTGCTTTGTGGAGGAGCAATACCAATTTAAAGTCTAATTTGCTTGGACCAAGCATCTCAAGTGGTGAGCATGCTACCTGTACCAAAAGACCACTAAGGCAGTAAGGAGCATATGTAGATAAATTTCTAATATCACTGATCTGCCGAACCCATGCCTTTAAATCCTTCAAGTTAAGGAAAGGGGGAGACTATGTACATTGTATATTTCACACTGGCACACAAGTTGCAATTGTACAATACATGTACCTTATATTCAATTGGATTTCTAGATTGCTCAGATGATCTATATGCAATTTTTATATACTCATTATTATAAGGCAAAGTACACATAAATAAGGGATATTTCAGGTTTGATGAAATTGTGTATGCATTTAGAACTCGTTGAACTGCATCTGAATATAGAATAATTGATATATGCAGCTTTTATACTTCTTTTTGGTTAAACAAAATCCTGTGGACAGATTTGAAAGAAATTGCAATTTAAAAGTGAAATTTTCTGCTTTTCACACATTTTCTTTTCATTTACAGACCTATGTCACAAATGTTTAATTGACTGTATTTGAAAGTATAAAAGCTACATATCATTTTTTGGATATTCAGATGCAAACTAGTTCTAAATACATACAAAATTTCATCAAAATCCAATAAATCACCCAATTACGTGTACTTTGCCTGAAGTAGCATTACTGAAAGGTTATACATGTATAGACTAATTCAGTACTTACGTCCTTTGTCTTTTTTAGAATTTTTTACATATAGGCTATCTAAAGCTAAAGCTTCAAACACTTCAAAATCTGCTTTCCTAATTTGTATTGAGTTGCTTACACTTCCTTGAGTATCTGTCAACACAGGCTGGAATGTATTCAAAATTTGAAGATTTGTACTACACATTACGTATATAAGTATAGACTAATTCAGTACTTACGTCCTTTGTCTTTTTTAGAATTATTTACATTTAGGCTATCTAAAGCTAAAGCTTCAAACACTTCAAAATCTGCCTTTCTAACTTGAATTGTGTTGTTTATATTCCCTTGATTATCTGTCATTGTAGGCTGGAATGTATTCAAAATGTTATGTGTGCAATGTGTACAGTGTATCACATATAAGTGTATACATATACATATAAGTGTATACATATACATATAAGTGTAACAAACTGAATATCATCCAAAAACAATACTTGCAATACAATACATACTACTGTTAGTGTTAATTCTGTTCATGTGTGGTTAGATTTGTAACATGATTCCAAGCTCTGTATCTTCCTGGCACTGACAAGATGAACAACTCTGATCAACCAACTATAGATGATTCTCTAAAAGTCAGCCATTGAAGGACAATCCATATCAAAATTTTTGTCACAGTGTTTATAATCGGAATTCTTGAAAAATAATCTTTGAATGCTTATACATGTAGGAATGAAGGAACATCAGACATAATTCTGAAACCACCAGAAGACAACTCTTACAACATTTATTTCCAAAATTTTCTGAGAAAAAAACAATGTTAGCGCTTTATATAGTAGAGGGATATTATTCTTTAGACTAAATCGTCATCAAATTGTTAAAAATACATGTATCCTCGGGATGATTCATCCTCTGTCAGGATGTCCAGTGAATCACTGAGAAACATCAGTATTATAGTGATTGGCACAATAACACACAATTCTGTCATATAATATCTATTGAACATACGTATACATTGAGATTTTTTTTGGTAAACCAGCAGCAATTACCAGCACTCTATCAATTGTGTGTAATTTAAAGTATGGATCAAAACTATTCAGTATTTGTTCACAGAATTAGAATCTAAAAGTAATGTTGTTGTTTTTCCCTTTTTCATCCTATATAAATATACATGTCTTTTTGATGGAGTCAAGCCATTTCAATTGATATTAATAATTTAATAGTGTGTCTTTTTATGTTGTAATGTTACACTACTATCTCAGGTTAGGGTGAAGGTTGGCGTCTGTTAAAACCCGCTGCATTTTTATGCACCTGTCCTAAGTCAGGAGCCTGTTGTTTGTTGGTGTGGTTCATAGGTGATTCTCGTTTTTTATATAGATTAGACCGTTGGTTTTCCTGTGTGAATTGTATTACACTAGTCATTTTAGGGCCCTTTATAGCTTGCTGTTCAGTGTGAGCCAAGGCTCCGTGTTGAAGGCCGTCATTTGACCTATAATTGTCAACTTTTTATACATTGTGACTTGGATGGAGAGTTGTCTCATTGGCACTCATACAACATCTTCTTATTTATATATAAATGTATGTCTTGCAGTGACTGCTGCAATTTTAAATTTGTAAAATAAAAGATGCAAATCTAAACGAATGAAAGTGATCATGGTAGGATTCCTAAAACTTGCACAATAAATATGGATATTCTAGGTACATTGTACATGTATCTCACAGATTCAATCTTGTTATTCTTTAAAATCAAAACTATTTATTTTCAGGTTCAGCAAAATAATATATAGCGCAAATTAAGGCCTTGTTTTGGCTATGAAAAATCCAATTGGTAATTTCATGTACATGTAACAAACAAACGTAAACAATACCATATTATGAATACCATGATGATCAAATGAAAATTAAGTAGATATATACCTCTGAAGGGTTGTGCTGCCATGACCCATCAACAAAAAACTTGTACTGATGTTCACCTTCTGGTAATTCTATAATTGTTAGAAAATCACCATGACTGAAACAGAAACAGAAAAGAATTGCAATATGCAAGATGGCCTTATTACTATAACACACCTACTAACCATTAGGCATTAGCAAATTTCAAACAAATCAAACTTGCCAGGGCACCCTTGTGCAAATAATCATGATCACATACAGTTGTATGGTATACAATTTTCTATTTTTAAGTTAAACTTATGTTCATCAAAATGACATGGGGGACTTAGGGGCCTTGGTGGTCAAAGTAGTTCATCTAATGTATCCTAATTAGCCTGTTAACACTAAGGTTGTGAATTTTAACCCAATATGTGGCAAGTGCATTCGACTCCAATCCTAATTGATTAGGATTGTCAGTTTTCCTGCCAAAAGGCATGGTTCTCTCAGGTCTCTCCAGCTTCCTCCACCAATTAAAACTGACCTCCATGATACAGCTGTTAGTGCTAAAGTCATTACACACCAACAATCAATCAATCAAAATGATTCGTTTTTTTTGTCGTTTGCTTGGGTGTTTCATGGACGTATACCCCACACCTCCTTATATTCATACAAATTATCTGACATACATTGTATCTGTACAATCAATATTTTTTTTAAAACTTTAATTGTGGTTTTAAAATAACTTTTTTATAAAGTTTGTTGACTGTTTTTGATGACATCATTTTCATGAAATGTGGGATACAATCGGCTATTATCGATTGTATTCTCTTGTCTTAAACACTTTTTGCGAAATTTCGTAGCTTTTATTTTGCTCTGTTTTTAGAAATATAACTAATACATGTACCATGAAGTTATCAAATAATCACCTTTTTACATTCATTACAATAAGTGACTTTTCTATTGTTGAGTCACCAGTTTTCCCACATGAGTCTACTCCACTGAAGAAAATAGTGATTATGGTATATTTTAGGTGGGTGGCTTTATTCCTCTTAAAGCAACACCAATATAAACAATTTAAGATACCAGTTTTTATTCAATAAGCATGAATTTAATATGCACAGTTTGTCCTGATGTTTATATCATGTCATGAATGATTGGGAAAATTTGCATGCTTTTTCTTTACAAACCTTTTGACAAGAGGTATTTTGGCCCATTTATTAAAACTTCCAGCTAAGTAAATATCCTTTCCGCCACCTTCCCATTTGAATACTGCTGGTAAAAGTTTTGGTGTCTGGTAAACCATATCAGCTCCCTGACTCAGAGTTGTGGCAGCTCTTGGTCGCTAAATGACAAGGAAACAATTTTCTTTAAAATAATTGCCCCTTTCTAACATAATAAATTGGGAAGAAATATATATTCTCCAATATGTAAAGCAAATTAAAAACAATCAAGTAACAGGGAAATAAGAATTTTTGGCAGCTATAATATGAAATTTTTTATAAAGCTACAAAGATATTAAATTATCTACTGAAGCAACAATATTATACAAAGTTCCACTATCAGCTTTCTCAGATCCATTGTCCAGAACTAAATTAATTGAATCTCTAAAGTATGCAATAGCTACCTGTTTATTGTATGTGGTACCCTAATAAAAACTCCTATTGATCAATAAACCATGAGGTCAAGGTCAAATGAACCATCCCAAACAGATATATGCATGTATTGTCTATCATTTGTTGTTTGGAAATTATTGGTCTTTTGTTGGGCAATGTATGACAAATATATGTTGAAAAAACTCGACCGTAATTATAAATTATGTAATTCATTGACCGCTCCCGACATGTGTAACTTCAAGGCATATTTTAGCAGCGATCGATGTCTTTCAAAATTACTGCACTTTTCTTGTATCCCTAGTGCTTTCGACTGGAGAACCGTCGTACACAAGCATCGCACAAGTTGGCACTCCGAGGCGGGTGGGGAGCAAGAAGGTGAACTGTGGTTTATTTTTATCAATTGTACCGCTTAAGTCGACGCTAGGGGCCGTCTTGGCTTTGTTGTAGGGTATGAATGATTCGTTCATTGTTGAAGACCCTACATCAACTGTCAAGATGAACAGGAATAAAAGCTCTGTTCATTGATAATTTTCTATGTTTTCTATGTATTGTGTGCGATTTTGTCCCATGTACATTTACTCCATATCCTTTCATTTTCTATGTACATTATATTTTCTATATACAGTAATAGCTAGTAACCAAATATATTTGATCTACAAATGTATTTTTTTCTTATAATCACTGAGAAACTGACCTAATTACAAAACCTTTTGTCAGGAACAATTTGCAAAATTATTTATGCAGTGGATGTGGACAGAGAATAATTTGAATCTGAATGTGTACAATAAAAAAAGGCTTGCATACATTTTTTGTACCACACCTGACCAAAAAATGATGCATCAAAAAATACTAAAGGCTCTAAAAGAGCCTTTGTCGCTCACCTAGATCAATGTGCATATTCAATGATGGACACTCTCTAACATTCATGACATTGTGGACAAGAAAAGAACTAATGACAAAAATCTCTTTTAAGTTGATCCTGTATGTTGATCATTTTTTCTGTTTGCAGTTTCTCTCATCTTATTTAGTTTTTGCCCAAAACAAGAAAAAGGGTAAAAAAAATTTCATTTAAGGGCAATCACTCTAATAGAGTGTCTACTATTGATTTCAGCAAAAATGAGATACTTGGAAATCTTTTTGTTGAGAAGACTGAGGGACCGGCAGTGGATGCGGACAGGTGTCATAATTTATTGTTACAGGTAATCTGCTTATCCGATTTGCATTTTACCTGAATATTTATCTTGGTAAAAAAACTTCAGAACTTTAGAATTTGTCAAATTTATTGTACTTAATAACTTGTCTTAAAATGTATGTTTGAACTGGAAAGGAGGCAAGAAAATTTGCTTGTTTTTTATGCTGCTTCAGAGTTTAAATTCTTGGTCAAGAGACAGCAAAGAACTACAACGTACATTGTATATATGGTGGTATATGTACAATACATGTATATATGGATGCATTAGAATCATGTACATGTACATGTACATTTATAGGGACAAACCACTACAAATCAAGTGAAATGTCCAAAGACTCACATTTTAAAAAAACATGAAAAATGACCTGGTAAGAATCATCAGGGACCGACTGGGCTTTGTCCAAATTGCGATTTTTTATTTCATCTGGAAACAAAGTACGGCTGCTGGAGATATTTCTCTCGTATTTCTTGACTGTAACGGTAATAAAATAAACGGTCACTCAAATTTGTGAAAGTAAAGCGGAAAATTTACCTGCCGACAAGTTTGTGACTTTGTTTACGACCCAAGATAATCAACAGTCACAACAGGTGTCATAACTTATTGTTACAGGTAATCTGCTTATCCGATGGGTCATTAATGATGATCAAAATTAATTAATACAAATACCATCAGTCGACATTTTTTGTCATTTCAACATACGACCATACAATTTGCAATTTTAACATAGTTGCATGATGAAAACATAATTTACAGAAAGACGAAAACCGTAATGAAGTTATAATAAACATCGTTTCACTTGAATCCCGTTATTTTTTTTTAATTCAGACATATTTCGTCTTTGCCTGCCCTCATTTCGGATAATATAATAACATGATGGGTATTCACTTCTACTGTGTATTATAATTATATCTTCAGTAGAAGTAGGAGCACACCCCAAACAAGAAAGATAACTCAAATATAATTTTTCCTAGTATTGAAATACATGTAACTGCAAGATATGTTTTCATACTTCTGACTTCATGACTGATAGGTTTAAGAGTTCTTTTGAGATTATATGATGCATTTAAGAGGGTCTTGATATCATAGGGGATTTGGGGAAAGGCTGGGTCATCATTTTCTATTTACTTTTTTTTTAAATATACAAATTTTCTCTATTCTGTATAGTTAAGTGTCTGTTATTCTCTCTTTTTCATTTTTTTGCCCAGTTTTCTCTATTATTTAATTTTAATTTTAAAACATTTTTCTCTATTCTGTAGCACATATATACAGACCATAAGCTAATTATAAGGACAGGAACATTGACCAATAGATTCATTATATTAGTCCCTGTTTTGAGACATGACAATCAAAACAAAAACATATATGTACAATACATAAAATTGAGAATGGAAATGAGGAATGTGTCAAAGAGACAACAACCCGACCAATGAGCAAAAAAACAGCCGAAGGCCCCCAATGTATCTTTTTTACCACACAAAAGTGATTTAAAGCCCTCAGAACCTTGGCTTAAACCCTGGTGTCAGTGAACCTGTTTGTTTTGTTCTTTCACAGAAAGGAAGAAAAAACATAAAACTAACAGGACATAAATTACATGACAAATCATCACTTAAAGTTAAAGGATGAATAGTTCATAAGAAAATTCAATTAATTGCTTTCAAGAGGAAATCAAGACTACACATATACATTGTAGCTGGCTCTAATGTTGATTCCAATTTTTCCAAACTGGCAACAAAATATAGCAGCTGGCGATTTTTCTGGCTCCAACTTTTTAGGAGCCAGAGCAGCCCCTGATCCTCTTTATTTATTGTGTATAATAAGTACATGAACACTTTTCATAGGAGCTGTTATATATTTAACAAGTACAATGTGCTATACACAGGCAATATACAATAAATAGTTACTGGATAAAAAGAAATGACCACTACACAGAAATCAGGGACAATCTCAATGTACAAATGACATCAATTTATTTGTTGTCACCTGATTAGCATACATTTGTATTAACCTGACCTTCAAATTAAATTTAATATAGTAATAATTATATATATTAAGGATTGATGAATTTAACAATTTTAAAATACATGGCAATTTATTGGACCAAATAAACTCAGTCTTCACGCTTAACCACAGGCCCAGTAGCCCAGGCTTGTAAAACTGCTTTCAGGCCTGTAAAAATCATCTCTACAGGCCAACAGAATCTAACAAAAATTTTCCAAAAATTGAACTCTGGGCCTGTAGATTTAAAAGTTTATCGTGAAGACTGTAAACTAGACTACAATTTTACAATGACATGTCAATTTATGGGACCAAATAAACTAGACTACTTTATATATATATATATCTACTATACTGTACAATAATGATTTATAAACCTATAGCTACCAATTTACAATGTACTGTTGTGTCAAAAGGTATTGTAAACAAAATATAAGAAAAGGTCATCTACAACTTACACGTATATGTGATGCAGTTCATTCTTCTCAAAAGTCAAAATGTTATTCTACTTTTATATGCTAAATGGTAACCTTCCTCAATGTCAAATAGTACACATTTCTACTGGGGGCTACATGACACAATTATCATAAAAATGTCAACTTTACAATCTAATAATTTTTTTCAAGTTGTTATTGAATAATTTAGTTTAGGAAATGATACACAGTTTAAACTTATACAAAAATAATTAAACAAAATTTGGATCTCAAAAATATGAAAGATAAAAAATTGTTTTTAATCATTGGGCATATGACCTTCACCTTCAACTCAGGACATCTAGTAAATATTTACATATTTACTCAAAAGACTTAAAGGAAAACACTAAAAACAAATTTAAAGAATTACCCTCGTGTTAGGATTAATCACTTGAATGTGATCAAATTCTTTTTCACTATATCCATATCTTCCAGCTACAAGTTGCGGTCCAGATTCATCGCCAGACACATGGCGAGATTTTTGTGATGTATTACCCATTCTACTAAAAAGTAATGTCACATCGGATTTTCAAATGTCTCAAATTAATATTTCACCCCGACTGACACATTAAGTGCGACCAATTGTTGACTTCAATCTTGTAAATTCTATCCAAGTAAAGACAAGAAATAATGACCGACACTTGTCATGTGGTCGATCACCTCGTGTAGTTTATTTACAAAATTCAGATCGACCTAATCCCCAAATTTGACTTAGTTTGAGTTTTAAGGCAAAATCCGGTGCTCCTTGCCTAATCTTTACGTCATTTTTTCTTCTCTGAAGTCAACATTTTAAAAAAATTGATTGAATCGAATGCAGAAAGTAAACAAATATGGTGGAATCCACGGTACGCATGCCAGAAAAAATAATTGGTAGAACAAGTACGGAAATATGAAATCAGTTACTAATTTTTAGTGTAATAGTCCCAGTTATTTCATTTATACGCCTCTTCTTATTCTTTTGAGTATCCCCGTACAATTATATTTATATGAACTCCACGATTTCTGATCATTTCTCCACGTCTAGATTGTGTTAGCACTCGGCAGAGACATATAATATAGTATTATATGTCTCTGCACTCGGTCACAGAGCGCAGTGAATGAAAGATATCATGTCTGCTTCTGCTTCTGTCGTTTGATGGCCGTCATATCATTTCAATCCTGAGGCTGGGGCATTATATTGATCCTCATTCCAGCCTGAGCATAAGAAACAAAATGTTACGGAGTTCCTATATTCGAAGACATGTATAAGTCTCTGCTATTTCATAGGTTTTTCGGGGACAGGACATTTTTTTTACCCGCCCCCCCCCCCCCCCCCCCCTCAATTTTTTTTCTCTCCAAAATCCGTTATTTATTTGTATTCTTTTAATTTCAATAATTACCCTGTTTTTCTATGTCATACTTACATAAATATACTCGAAACAACATGTGTTTACGATTTACTATCAATTATTAAATTACTATCCACAGCGGTCATTGATAATAGGATAGTGTAGAGCAGTGACCGCTGTGTAGACATATATACACATACATGTATATATGTCTCTGGTAAAAGATAGTGTTGATATTCAGTTGGAGATTTATTTCATGCGGAATTTCATTTAATTATATATATATAAGGTCACATGTAGTCACCAATCAGTTGAGGTAATCTGTCCACAGTATAGAAACAAATACCATATACATTTTTGACTCATTCAAAAGTTAGAAAAACATTCTTTTATATTATTAGACTCGGATAACTCGGATAAAATGGATATGGTAAAGACTCTGTTGTGTTCTCTTATCAAACAAAAGACAATATAACATTACCCTATATAATCTTTATCTTTTTATGCATTTGGACAAAAACCTATATAAAACACCTTAGCTCACGATTGCTTTCATTTTATTTACTTTCCGTTCAAATACTTGTTTACCTCTGTCACGGTAATCCTAAAAAAAATACTTATGAGCCTGAAAATTTTGCATTGACCAGTTGCTTGGGAAAAAAACGAATACTCATACCTTTTGTCAGTATTGTGTTCCGGTGCAAATATGGAAATACGAGTTATAAGAGATACGGGGTATACGTCAATGAGACAACAACCCCCGGTGTCTCTACGAGTCTAAATTCCCCTCCCGAGTCTATAAAAGTTGCAAATAATTTAAACAGAAACAAAGATCTGCCATCACCACCAAATTCTCCAAATAACAAAACACATTAAGACGATGACATGAGACAACCGCAGACGAGGTTCCCGGTGACTTGGAACATACATGATATCAACCACATTTTAGCAATCTGAGTAAAATTCAGATCTATCTAAACTCGCGTGCTCGTATATATAAGCTCATATGATGATAACGAAATCTGAGATTCATACTTTAATCAGATTGCACATTTTAGCAAAGTACTGTTGTTTTATTTTCTGTTTAAAGTTCCCAACTGTCTTATAATCACATACTATTGCTGTATTTGCTGCAATATCTGTGATCTCTTCACATAGATCATATAGAGACTATAACACTCGGCGCTAACTTGTCTATCTATTTCTAAGGTTAGGTATCATTAAAATACTAAAAATAATAACCTATAATCACAGAGCTCTCTGCTATAACCAGTTTTGAGATACAAATTTAATCATTAAATATCGACAAGACAAGACAAGACAAGACAAGACAAGACAAGACAAGACAAGACAAGACAAGACAAGACAAGACAAGACAAGACAAGACAAGACAAGACAAGACAAGACAAGACAAGACAAGACAAGACAAGACAAGACAAGACAAGACAAGACACAAGACAAGACAAGACAAGACAAGACAAGACAAGACAAGACAAGACAAGACCTTAGGCACACGTATGGTGCTTCAAGAGGATAACAATTATACACATAATTATACATTTGCAAGCAAGACACACAATAAATAAATTAGCGATACCATACAGTAGAATTGAAATATACCATTTTTTGAATTTTTTGGCAATATTTTGAATTGCAACGTGAATAAAATTTTATTTTAATACTACATTTGTAACATGATATAAATTATGAAAATATCTTTTCTAAATGTCTTAAAAATTGCACAGTTTTGTTAGAACTGACACATTACAGTGTGACAATAGACCTATGAATTTTAATTGGGAAGGATTTTTTGTGTAATATGTAGGTATATACCTTTCTCTTACTGACATAATTTGTTAATTGGTACATGTAAAAAAATAATGATATTCGTCACCAATTGTATTTGAATCGCAGTGACAGCATATACGATCCTCTTTTGTTGTTTTTTCCACCGACCAACTTCAATAGGGATTTTGATATTTGAACATCTATAAATCTACTGTAGATATAACGATCTGCCACTTTTAAAAGATTGAGTAAATAGTGCTCTAAACCAAACATGATTTTATATGACGCATAAAACACACCTCTTGACGAGTTTGTCATATCAGCAAATAGACGCTGTCCGAATTGGTCAACTAATCTCTGTTTTATTTCTTTTTTAATATCTGAGCTTTTGATAACACCCTGTGCATTCCAGACAAAGGAAAATCCTGTATCATCTAATATTTGTTTCAGAGAAGATAACCATTTAAATGAGTATTGACCTGAATTATGTAAGTTATACATTAACTGATACAAAATCCCGGATAATTTGCTACTACCGCTTCGCACTAACCTTGACCAAAAGCAAAGTAATTTAGTTTTAATATTAATTATTAACGGAAATCTGCCAGTTTTCCCATAGACCACATAATTTGGTGTTGTTAATCTTACATTCAAGACCCTCTTCAGGAAACTTAAGTGCACCTTTTCAATCATGTCAACATTCTCATGACCCTATATTTCCGAGCCATAAAGTAAAATTGGAGAGACCATACAATCAAATAGTCGAAACTGCAGATCTGGAGAAATGTTTACTTTTCTTAACTTGTAGTGTAATGCGTACAGTGCTTTTTGTGACTGTTCAACCAGTTTTTTCTTTGATAGATTAAAGTTACAATTGTATCTTATTAAAAATACCAGATAATTATAACTGTTCGTGAGCTGTAACTCCTCGCCTCTTAACATAAATCTCAGATTTCGTTGACGCTTCGCCTTCTCAAACACCATTACTTTTGTCTTATCCATAGATATAAGAAGATGTGGTATGAGTGCCAATGAGACAACTCTCCATCCAAGTCAAAATTTATAAAAGTAAACCATTATAGGTCAAAGTACGGTCTTCAACACGGAGCCTTGGCTCACACCGAACAGCAAGCTATAAAGGGCCCCAAAATGACTAGTGTAAAACCATTCAAACGGGAAAACAAACGGTCTCATCTATATAAAAAACGAGAAACGAGAAACACTTATGAACCACATCAACAAACGACAACTACTGAACATCAGATTCCAATGAATTCCAATCAATGTTTACATTTAGTTTCCAGTTAGCACAGTATTCATCAAACTTATTTAACATTCTTTGTAAATCGTCATCTGATTCTGCCAGTAATATTGTATCATCAGCATATAATAATAAAAAAATTCTAATATACATGCCAAGTTCACTTAGACAATATTCATTTACCTTTTTTAAACATGTTATATCATGCTGAATAAAATAGCTTTCAAGATCAATAATGAAAAGAGCAAACAGAAAGGGCGATAAGTTTTCACCTTGTCTAACTCCAACTTCGCACGGAAAGAAATTTGAACAACCCGAGTTGTGTCTTACACATGATCTGATATTAGAATAGAGGTTATGAATAGAATTAAATATTTTGCGTGTTATGTTACTAGAAATAAGCTTTTGCCACAGCCCTACCCTCCACAGGGTATCAAAGGCTTTCTTGAAATCTACAAATGTACAGAATAAACGCTTTCCAGAGAATAAATAAAGACCTTTCCTAAAACCCGCTTGGCATTTTGAAAGTAATTCAATTTCTTGTGCAAACTTGTCTAGACTAAGTCTATTATTTAGTATAGCTGTAAATACTTTACCTAAACATGATACCAGTGTTATACCTCGATACGAGTCTGGATCTTTAAGATCTCCCTTATTCTTATAAATGGAATTAATTATTCCCATTGACCAGATTTCGGGTAAAACCCCTGTGTCGAATACGAAATTGAACAAATTGACGTAAAGAGGTAAACATACAGACACAGAATTTTTAATATACTCGTTTCTTATCCCATCATATCCAGCGGCTTTATTATTTATTAAAGTCTTAATGACTTTGATAATTTCTTCCACGGTAAAAGGCCCATTTAAAATTTCATCAAACTCATTAAAATGTAGGTTAGGTAATTGAAACTCTCCGGCCGCTTCACTTACCTCACTCTCATTAAGCTTCTTAAAATAGTCATACGTTACTTCTAGTGAAATTGAACTTTCCCTTTTTTTGTTTCGGAGAAAATCTATTTAAAACTTTCCAAAATTCTTTCGGGTTATTTTTTGATATATTACGAAGCTTCTGTTCTGTATTAAACTGATATTTTTGGAAACAATTGTTTATTTCTTTTTTATATTCCTTACTTGCTCTTTTCAGTGACTTCTTATTATTTATACTTTTATGTTAACTATATTTATATTTTGCCGAGTGAAATTGTTTTCTTTTCAATTTACATGATTTACCAAACCATGGTTTATTACCCTTTTTGACCCCATGGGCTTTTTTCATCGGACTTTTATTAACAAAATTTCCAAAAGAATCTGTAGCTGTAGCGAGTAAAAATTTATTAAACTAGTTATAACTCCGTTTATATCATGATCATCTTTTTTGAAGGATTCCAATTCATTACACAAATCAAGTATTTTTTCCTGTTTCTTTCTCACATTTTCGATGAATTTGTGTTTATCCTGTTCAATCCATTTTATTGACGTCTTTTTATGTGAACTCTTTTCCTCTACTTCTATATTGGCCTCTGTTATTAGTTTGACATGTATGCGGTTGCGTACATCAGAGAATAATGCATCAAGGCCTCTGTTATTAGTTTGACATGTATGCGGTTGCGTACATCAGAGAATAATGCATCAAGGCCTCTGTTATTAGTTTGACATGTATGCGGTTGCGTACATCAGAGAATAATGCATCATGGCCTCTGTTATTAGTTTGACATGTATGCGGTTGTGTACATCAGAGAGTAATGCATCAAGGCCTCTGTTATTAGTTTGACATGTATGCGGTTGTGTACATCAGAGAGTAATGCATCAAGGCCTCTGTTATTAGTTTGACATGTATGCGGTTGTGTACATCAGAGAGTAATGCATCAAGGCCTCTGTTATTAGTTTGACATGTATGCGGTTGTGTACATCAGAGAGTAATGCATCAAGGCCTCTGTTATTAGTTTGACATGTATGCGGTTGTGTACATCAGAGAGTAATGCATCAAGGCCTCTGTTATTAGTTTGACATGTATGCGGTTGTGTACATCAGAGAATAATGCATCAAGGCCTCTGTTATTAGTTTGACATGTATGCGGTTGTGTACATCAGAGAGTAATGCATCAAGGCCTCTGTTATTAGTTTGACATGTATGCGGTTGTGTACATCAGAGAGTAATGCATCAAGGCCTCTGTTATTAGTTTGACATGTATGCGGTTGTGTACATCAGAGAGTAATGCATCAAGGCCTCTGTTATTAGTTTGACATGTATGCGGTTGTGTACATCAGAGAGTAATGCATCAAACAGAATAACCTCAAACTCTTCAATATTCTTAAAAAGATTTGATAAAACTATAAAATAGTCAATTAAAGTGTTGTCTTTCGTGGTAGCCTTACCTATACCCTTATCTGCCCCAGTCCTACCCGCTGTAATATACAAATTATTTCTCTTACAAAAGTCTACTAATTTAAAACCCTGAGAATTTGGACGCATTTTATCATCTGAAAATCTTTTTAGTGGAATTTTTAATGAAATCATATTTTGGTAATCATATGAAAAATCGATTAATTCATCGTTTAAATTTTCATCTAAAACCTCTACCAAATTTTCATCTGTCATTGACAGGTCGAAATTGTCCCTTGTATGCCTGTATCTTTACCTCCATAGGGCATAATGGCAGATTTCGTTTTAACTGCAATCAAAGGTTCTATAATATTTGTTGTATATATCCCAATGTAAATCGTTACTGATGTTCAATCCCAGGTATTATATTGATTTTCAGAATTTCAGTTCTATGCCTTCTAAAATTGTGTTGACTTTTTACTGGTATTGTTATTGCGTATTCATCATCGTTGTTGCATTTAACAGTTTGGAAACACATCCCCAATTGTCAGCCAAATGTGCCTAAGGTGTCTTTGTCTTTTTGTAGCACCAACAGTCTTTGTTGATGAATATAAAATATATCTCAGTACAAATGTTCAAATGAAGTTCCATATGGTGGCGTGCAAGATTTTATAATCTAAAGCTTAAGGGAATACTGGTAACAGAAAATCCCTGGTCTACCTTCAAAACTGAATGCATAATTTCTTATACACGAGAACGCTATAGTATTATCAAAACTATAGATCTACAGTCAAAAGTAGTGTTAGTGCCATGCTTAGCATCTAAGCTGGTCAATACTATAACAAAGAAAAAAATTCCATCAGTCAAAATGCTCTACAAAAATCATCAACTAGTTTTGCCATTCTTTCAAACAAATTACCATTTATTTACATTTTTTCTTGAACATTAAGGTTCATATGACCGACTTTTGACTCCGGCGTATATTTTTTTCGAGAGGTTACCTACTGTGGTAGGACATCCTGGTACTCAGTTAAGTAAGAGCAACGTAAAGAAGTAAAATCAAGCTTTCATTCGGTAATTTTTTTGGGAAAATTAACTGTTTTATGTTTTCTATATACTACTAAATCATCGGAAAACAGTAAACTTTCCCCTTAATTGCACCGATTATGTGTTTGATTTTACTTCTTTTGGTTGCTCTTAATTGACCGAGTACCAGGATGTCCTACAGAGTAGGTAACCTGTCAAAAGTCGGTAATATTCCAAGTCTCAGGAAGCAAATTGCTAAAATAAATAAATAAATGTGAATTTCATCTTTTATCTATACAAATTTTTGTTTGAAATTTATTGTTATTTATGTTCAGATTTCAGTCTTCCTAGCATGTGCCTTCTTATAATTTTCAAAATATCGAAGCTAAGAAGTATTCGGTGAATTGATGTAGATGGATTCAACCCATGACAGAGGTATATAATACACGGTTATTGATACAGCGAGCCACCGTTACTATCATCGCGCTATGTGCGCACGTGGCATGAATATACAGGTGTGCTCGAATGCTTAGTTGTTATTTATATCCGTCTGGGGAAAAACAAACCAATGCTATTGAAAGACTATCTGGAACATTCAACAAATTCATTCAATAAAAACATTTAAAAAATATTAATGTAAATCAAAATTTTATATTACAAAGTTAAACATTTGACTTAAAAGAACTCATCTATGTTCAGTTTTATTGACATAAGAATAACCATGTGCGTACCTGTCGTCATAAATTAGCATCACCCAACTTCGGAAGATATCGGATCACAACTTCCACAAATAAGTAAAAACTAAAGAAGAGCCGATGGTAATGGAATCGTCAGGCACTGAAAGTGAAAATCTGGCACCTACAGAATTTTTATGTACTTCTTCAATAGAAAGTTCCACTGGATTAACAGTAGCAGTAGAACGCTGTCCTTTATGCGACGGTACAAAAAGAAAATATTATTGTAAATCATGTGTGAAGCAAGGACTCTTTATTCACTCAAAAGCCACGGTGTGCCAGAGGTATTAACAAGTAGTTGACATGTACATTTTGTATATATATTTCCTCCATATGAATACAAAATCATCACACATGTGGGTATTAGTACAGGAGTCGAATATTTTATTAATGTGTATGAAATAATTAATCTGTTGTTTATGTACCAAGTTTTTGGGAACTAGAACGTATTTTCACAGATATCCAAAATTGATTGCTAAACAAGGACATAATTTCACATAGTGAAGTTATTAAAACTAGTGAAAAGGTGAAGTTTTAGTTTCACTGGTTTTTAGACCCTCCATTTAGTATTGGGCAGCTGCAGGTGTGACATGTCAAAGTGGATGAAGTCTGTTAGCTAGTTATGTAAAACAGTCTTTTTTTCAAAATTGAATTCATAAAAACTGATTCTTATTACCAGAGACATATATATACACATATGTTAGTAATAACAGAGACATATATACACGTGAATATATGTCTCTGTTATTACTAAGGAAATGATTATTAGTTTTCCCTAAAACTCATTCTGTTTTATTTCCTACATGTGTCTTTTAGTTGGTATGTTGAATCAGCGCTATTTTTTTTGTTTTTATGTCAGTCAGGGGTACTACTTGTACAAGTAATTTTTATTTAGTTGAAGAAGTAATATTAATATACTTATATAAGTAAATTTGTACGATACTTATACAAGTGTATTTTATTTACTTGTATAGGTAAAAAAAAATTGGCTTAGTTATGTCCCTTAGACATTCAGATTTTTTTTTACTTATATAAGTGAAAAAGTCATCCTATCTTTTTTTCTTGAATTCTTAGGACTTCTTTGTTCTAATAGAATTTTAAATTGTCTGTCCTTTGCAGATGTCTTAACTAATCATTTAAGTGTAATTTCATGGAATATGAAAATCTCATTTGTCTGTTATCTTCAGAACACTGCTCATTTACAAGCCCCCCAAGGAGCAATTTTTGAAGGCCTTGTGCAATCAGTTTCTTTGTTGAATTAATGAGATGAAACATTGAACTCTAACCAAAAATTATGAGCTAAACTGGGAAAAATCATTAAAGGCTTGTTTTTACATCTCAAAAGTTGAGAATTTTTGTGGGATTGTAAAAAAAATTTACTTATACAAGTGAATTTTTGAGAAAATTAAGGGGAGATTATTCAAACATTATAATTAACTTATATAAGTATTTTTTTTACTTCTTCAAGTAAATACAGATTACTTGTACAAGTAATACCCCTGACTGTATGTAAACAAACATAATATTCGACCTCTTTCACATGTTCATGTAACACGCACCTCATATTACATGTTGGTAATCAGATATACAAAATTGCCGAAAAATTGTATGCTCTTTATGATGTACATTGTAATCAAAAAAGAAACTTGCAGGAAATTATCTTCCTCATTATGATGTTTTAGGAAAAAAACATGAGAAAAAGAATAAACACAATGAATTTAAGCCCAAATACAAAATTTAGAAAACTTAAATTGAAAGATTTTTTAATCATTAGTATATTGATTTTCTTACTACTCTTTGGAATTCAGCGACTCTTTACCCTGAATTTCATGAAGATTTTGCATGTTGAGAGACTGTTAACATTTTATTGGAACATATGATGTTCTGACTAAATTTCTACTAATGGTTTTACAAAAAGGGATAAAATGTATTTTAAATTATATTTAGAATTTGAAAAACTGAGTGATACACATGTACTTCAGATGGTGAAAATGTAATGGCTTTTATCAGATTTTTGGCAATATTTAGCAATTATTTAAAAAAAAGATGAACTCTTGTTATGTTTATTTCTGAGATGCCATATATTAAGCATTTGGTACAAAATGTACCTTAGAATAACAACTGGCTGAGTGGTCTTTTTATATTGCAGTCTTTTAGTGTTTTGTATTGAACAAAAAATCTTTTCTTTGTTGATGATCAATAATTTTTAAAAGAGCTATGTCCCTTGGAAATATTGATTATATGGAAAATTGCATTGTTAGCACTCTCATGTGTACAATTCTTGCCAGAATTTTATGAAACTTATATCGTAGGTTTATATCAGCAATGTCTTTGACACTTTCGAAAATAAATGCTGATCAAATATTTTGGAAAAATTCAGTGTAAAGGAAATCGCAATGCATTTGCTCTGAAGCCTTCATTTCTCTAAGACATTTTTGAATTGTTTTATAGAAAAATAAAAGTGTTTTTTTTTTAGTTATTGCCCTTTGGAAGATAAAATATGTGCAACACGGGGGACATTGGAACTCTGTTCTTTTATTTAAAAGAGAATACAGACCCTGATCTTATTTTAATTTTATAGGACATTGACATGCAAATTATGATCTTTGGCTACAATGTTACAGACTTCATGGATTATTATTAAGTGTCATCCCTGCTACAAAATTTATATCACAATTTCAGGTAATGCTAAGGAAATGCCATAGATGGCAAGTACTACAATTTCAGAGAAAACATTGAATGGACAGTACTTTTTATTTTGACATCCTTAAGTATAAGTTTGTTGCGGAACTGTACCTCTTAATATTGTCCTTGTGATATTTTTTTGAAAAGTTGCAGACCGTAGATATGCACAAATCTGAAAACATCATACGAACCATAAAAGTTACAATTAGGCAGCTATTTATGAGTATGCTTGCTTACAAAATGAAACAAATGGCCTCCACCGGAATTATGTTTATTCACTGACATAAACTTGATAAATTTTTATTTTCAATTTGGCTATGATTTTAAATAATACCTCATTTCTATATTATTATGTAATTTATTTTTTCAGATACACTGAATTACTATATAAACTTGATTTTTTGAAGATAGAGAGAAATAAAACCCTTGAAAAGTAAGTGTTTACATTCACCAATACCACTGATGATAGCTAAAACCATGTTAACTATCTTTCTTTGTTCTATTAAGAGCTGTTTAGTTATTGACAGTTGGGTTCTTATTCACTCATGTGACACCACCCTATTTTTTTAAGATGAAGAATAGCAATTTAGAAGAAACCTATTGATCTTGGGGTCAAAGTTCAAGGTCACTGTTACTAAAAATAGTAACTTTTGGAAAAAGTTTTATTTCCTGGGAAATGTTAAACTAAATATATACAAGACAGACCATATAATTATGGCATTTATTTTTATTTTCGATCAATAAATGTTCAGTTAACGAGCATCTGTTGTCATTTTCAACTTTACACTTATTTAACAATATGATTATTTCTATAAATGTGGATTCTTGTTTTAGATGTCAGGAAAAAGTAGAACCTATGCTTCAAACAGATATAAGGGTAAGTAATATTTTCTAATGAACATAATGTCCATTCCTGTGTAGTTATGTTCTGTTATGAAAATACCATGTATTAGCCAATGTTATTCGGTGGAACAGTTTTTTACCCAGTGAAATGTACTCTTGAAAGATAAATACATTACATCATTTTCATTGTTTGTAAATTATTCTTCTGTCTATCATGTGTCTATAGTTTATTATTTGTTTTTTTAGCTCACCGGGGCCCTTTTTTGGCCCCATGTGAGCTTATGCCATCACTTGGCGTCCGTCGTCGTCTGTCGTCGTCGTAAACTATTTCAAAAATCTTCTCCTCTAAAACTACTGGGCCAAATACCTTCAAACTTTAAATAAATTTTCCTTAGGGTATCTAGTTTATAAATTGTATCCGAAGTTTTGATCCATCGACAAACATGGCCGCCATGGCTAAAAATAGAACATAGGGGTCAAATGCAGTTTTTGGCTTATATCTCAAAAACTAAAGCTTTTAGAGCAAATCTGACATGGGGGTAAAATTGTTCAATTGGTCAAGATTTATAAGCTCTGAAATTTTCAGACGAATCGAACAACCCATTGTTGGGTTGCTGCCACCGAATTGGTAGTTTTAACAAAATTTTGCAGTTTTTATACCACTGCAAAAATTAAAAATTTTTTGGTCGTATATTGGGATGACGTTGGCGTCGTCGTCTTCGTCCAGCGTCGTCCGAAGACACATTGGTTTTCGCACCCTTACTTTAGTTTAAGTGAATGGATCTCTATGAAATTTTACCATAAGGTTCAATACCTCGAAAGGAAGGTTGGGATTGATTTTGGGGGTTATGGTACCAACAGTTAAGGAATTAGGGGCCAAAAATAAGCATTTTTGTAACTTCCAGACAATAACTTGTGTGTAAGTGTATGGATCTCTCTGACATTGTACCACAAGGTTCCATATCACAAAGGGAAGGCTGTAATTGATTTTGGGGGTAATTGCCTCAAAATTTTAGGAATTAGGGGCCAAAAAAGGGGCAAAAAACAAGCATTTTTCTAGTTTCATGACAATAACTTGTGTGTAAGTGTTTGGATATTTCTGAAATTGTACTACAAGGTTCCATATCACAAAGGGAAAGCTGGAATTGAGTTTGGGGGTAATTGCCCGAAACGTTTAGGAATTGGGGGCCAAAAAGGGGCCAAAAATAAGCATTTTTCTAGTTCCAGACAATAACTTGTGTTCAAGTGTATGGATCTCTCTGAAATTGTACTGCAAGGTACCATACCACAAAGGGAAGGCTGGGATTGAGTTTGGGGGTGATGAATCATAAGGGGGTTCAAAGAATTTGGGGGGGGGGGATTTTTTTTTTTCTTTTTTTTTTCTTTTTTTCCTTTTTTTTTTCTTTTAAAATTTTCCATTTTAAAATGGTTATTTCTGATTTATATTTAAAAGCAAATTATAATGATATGGTAGGAGATACACACCAAACAGGATGTGTAAATTATTATATAATAAGTATTGTGCAATAGCAAGAAATTTTCAATTGCACAGTATTGCACAATAGCAAGAAATCTTCAATTGCACAGTATTGCACAATAGCAAGAAATCTTCAATTGCACAGTATTGCACAATAGCAAGAAATATCCAATAGCACAATATTGCGCAATAGCAAGAAATTGTCAATTGTACAGTATTGCGCAATAGCAAGAAATATTCAATTGCACAGTATTGTGCAAAAGAAGATACTTCGTATAAATTGCTTATTTCTTGATCAATTTCAATGGGGTTTTATTCTTGAATTCTTGGGGTCTTTAATATGCTGAATCTAACCGTGTATTAAGTTTTTGGATTTTGGGCCCCGTTTTTAAATTGGTCCACATTGAGGTCCAAAGGGTCCAAAATTTAACTTTTTGATTTCATCAAAAATTGAATTATTGGGGTTCTTTGATATGCCGAATCTAACAGTGTATTTAGATTCTTAATTTTTGGTTCCGTTTTCAAATTGGTCTACATTAAGGTCCAAAGGGTCCAAAATTAAACTTAAATTGATTTTAACAAAAATTGAATTTTTAGGGTTCTTTGATATGCTGAATCTAAACATGTATTTAGATTTTTGATTATGGGCCCAGTTTTCAAGTTGGTCCATTTCGGGGTCCAAAATTAAACTTTGTTTGATTTCAACAAAAATTGAATATATGGGGTTCTTTGATATGCTGAATCTAACCATGTATTTAGATTTTTGATTTTTGGGCCTCGTTATCAACTTTGTCCACATTGAGGTCAAAAGGGTCCAAAATTAAACTTTGTTTGATTTCATCAAAAATTGAATTCTTGGGGTTCTTTGATATGCTGAATCTAACCATGTATTTAGATTTTGGATATTGGACCATAAAAGGGTGAATGTCCAATTTAAAATTTTTAAGTTCTTAGACCACATTCATTCTGTGTCAGAAACCTATGCTGTGTCAAATGTTTAATCACAATCCAAATTCAGAGCTGTATCAAGCTTGAATGTTGTGTCCATACTTGCCCCAACTGTTCAGGGTTCACCCTCTGCGGTCGTATCAAGCTGCGCCCTGCGGAGCATTTTATTTGTTATTATTTTGAATATTATTATAGATATATATAAACTGTAAGCAGCAATAATGTTCAGCAAAGTAAGATCTACAAAAAAATTAATATGACCATAATGGTCAATTGACCCCTTAAGGAGTTATTGCCCTTTAAAGACAATTTTACACAATTTGTTCATCAAGTTTGCTAACATTTAAAAATCTTCTCCTCTGAAACACTTGGGCCAATTACCTTCAAACTTTAACTAAATGTTCCTTAGGGTATCTTGTTTATAAATTGTATCCGAAGTTTTGATCCATCGACAAACATGGCCGCCATGGCTAAAAATAGAACATAAGGGTCAAATGCAGTTTTTGGCTTATATCTCAAAAACTAAATCTTTTAGAGCAAATGTGATATGGGGTAAAATTGTTTAATTGGTCAAGATCTATCTGCCCTGAAATTTTCAGACGAATCGAACAACTCATTGTTGGGTTGCTGCCACCGAATTGGTAGTTTTAACAAAATTTTGCAGTTTTTTGTTATTATTTTGAATATTACTATAGATATATGTAAACTGTAAGCAGGAATAATGTTCAGGAAAGTAAGATCTACAAAAAAGTTACTATGACCAAAATTGTCAATTGACCCCTTAAGGAGTTATTGCCCTTTAAAGACAATTTTACACAATTTGTTCATCAAGTTTGCTAACATTTAAAAATCTTCTCCTCTGAAATACAGGTGAGCGATTCAGGCTCTTGAGAGCTTCTTGGTAATGCCCCCGACGTAGCAGAGGGGGCATTAAGTTTTACCCTTGTCCGTCTGTACGTATGTCCTAAAATTGTTTCCGTTCTCTAACTTGAGTTTGCCTCTACCAAATGTTATGAAATTTATACACAATGCTTATTACCACAAAATACAGATCAAATTTGAATTTTGGTGGCGTCACTTTAACCATTCTCGAGTTATGCTCCTTTATAAATGGGGAAAAAAAATGCAAAATTTTTAGTATCCGTTCTCTAACTTAAGTTACCTCAACCAAATGTTATGAAACTTATACACAATGCTCATTACCACAAAACACAGATCAAGTTGAATTTTATTGGCGTCACTTAACCATTATCAAGCTATGCCCCTTTATAAATCGAAAAATTGCAAAATTTTTAGTTTCCGTTCTGTAACTTAAGTTTGCCCCAACCAAAAATTATGAAATCTATACACAATACTTATTACCACAAAACTCAGATCTAGTACAAATTTGGGTAACGTCACTTTTATTGTTTTTGAGTTATGTCCCTTTATAATGATGTATGCAAGTGGGGGCATCATCTGTGTCCATGGGGACACATTTTCCATTTATTGTTTTTTTTTCTTACTTTTAAGGGTTATTTGTTTTACATTTACTTTTAATTTTTCAATTCAAAGGCAAAAAAAAAAAGGATTTAAAAGAGTAACTAGCATACACATTATATGTGAAACTATTTTGGTTTTATCAGTCATTAATTTTGAATTTCAAATTATTATTACATGCACTAACAATAGAATTTCATCTTTGTTTGACTATTTAAATATGTTTTTGCCTTCACAACAAACACTTTTCTAAGGGTTCACTACAGAATAAAATTCAAGGATGAAGGATTGAATATTATGATACAGCTGCAGTCAATCTCAGTACAATGCTGGATGATTCTTGATATAAATTATATTAACTAATTTACCTGGTAGCTTTATAAAATCAAAGAGCAAAACTATCAAAGCAAATAATGCCATTGAGCAAGAATACAGAAAGCATTAGATGGCATTTAACAAGAATAGATCCTGAGGGTTAACTTGGGTATAGAAATATGGTAATTCCTGAACTTCTCCTGTCCGGCAGTAAAATCCTCAGTAATGTGGGTAGTCTGCGTGGGATGGATAAATATACAGCCTCGTAGAGTGAGTGCTATGCTCTCTGCATGTTAAAAAACTCTTGCCAGAACTGTGGGGCCTATATGTTTCCTATTGCAGGTCAATTTTGCCCATATCCAACAGTGACTGTCCAAATTTCAACCCTTTATTCTGGTTGACCTTCCTTGCTAAATGTAGAATGTACCTATTCAGGCTATTGTATTAATTGTTAATTTGTTCAAGTCCTGAATTGGGTTGAAATATTTGCCATTGAATTTGAGTATCAACAATCATTAAAGCATAAATAAAAACCATTGAAAAAACATTTTGTATAAATGCCAATGAGACAACTTTCCCACCATAGACCAAAGAAAGAAGATGTAACCTTACACCAATAATTGATAAGACAAAAATATTGAAGAGCGAAAACATAAAGACCTAAGAACAATAATGATTAAGCATACACACCTATGAGAAATAATGCTAAAACACAAACACCTAGGAAAAATAATGCTTAAACAAACACCTGAGAGAAACATAAATACTGAAGAGCAATAATGATAAAACATAAATACTGAAGAGCAATAATGCTAAAACTTAAATACCGAAGAGCAATAATGATAAAACATAAATACTGATGAGCAATAATGCTAAAACATAAACACCTTATTTTTCTAAAATTATGCTAAATCCTCCTGGTTAATGCCATAGAGCAAGAATAGAAAATACAAAAAAAATTGATACCTTACATAAAATGCTAAAAAATACTGGTAAATGCCAAAGAGCAAGAAGTCAAAAAAAAAAATTAACATGGAACGACAAGAAACTAAAATTTTTAACACAAAACAACAAAAGTACCAAAACTTACAACACCATATAACACTGACATTCATAAACTATGTTTGAGTAATATGTTCAATGTTAGAGTATCTTATTAATTGAGATGCTCCTATAGTTTTTATACCCCCGTTCACGAGACGTATTATGGTATACCGTTGTTCGTGGTCAACATGTCGGACAATAACTCATTAACGCTTGAACCAATTTGCATGAAAATTTGATGAATTGTTTATATCTATTGACGTAAGCCCCTTTTGATTTTTATAAATTTTAGATTTTACGTTTCTGAGTTATGGAGTTGAATTTATCATTAAAAAAGGGGGATTTTCCAGTTTTCGGACTATTACTCAAAAAAGCTTTGAGCAGTTTTCATGAAACTTTGTTGACAGATTTATATTTATTGACGTAAGCTCCCTTTATGAATTTTATAAATTTTGGATTTTACGTTTCTGAGTTAAGGATTTTATTCATAAAAAAGGGGGGATTTTCAAGTTTTCTGACTATAACTCTAAAGTGCGTTGAGCAGTTTTCATGAAACTTTGTAGACAGGTTTATATCTATAAAAATTTCTGATTTGACATTGAGGAGTTATGGAACTTTATTCTTTGAAAAAGCGATGGGCGTATCATACGTTCATGGCGCAGCTCCTTATTACATTTGCATTGCTTGGTTGTACTCATGCCTCATTGTACTGGAGCATGTTAAATGCTATTATTGCTGCTATCACTTTCATATTTTGATTTTCCCACAGCTTCAAGAAATAAATGAATGTCATAGAAAGATAGACTTGCTAAAAATTGCTTTACAAACTGCCAAAGAAATGATGGTTAAAGGTAAGATACATTAAGTATTAGTATTTGTACTAATCTGACAAAATAATCATAAATTTGACAAATCTAAACATAGATATAGTAGTGTAACTTTTTAATAACAATTGAAATTGTAACTTATCCAACTTTTAGATAACCACTAAGCATTTTAACAGGGAATTGAATATTTTTTTTTACAAATGATTGAAACTTTTATCGAAAAAGTTTATGTGTATGCATCAGGAGATTTAAGTGACTAAAACTCAGTCAAGTTAGAATTTGAGCTTTCATGATTTATTTATTGATATTTAGAGTTTAGTCCCAACTAAATTGGTTTTATGGATTTGGAAAATTTTAAGAAGTGAAATAAAAATTTAGAATTTTATGCAAAAAAAAAAAATAGACGATATTTTAACTTTTTGAACAATCTCATAACTGGGTACCATCCAAGATGACTTTTTTTTAGGGATGTCAATGAGTACTTGAGTATTCGAGTATAGCTCGATAGTACCAAGTATGGAATACCAAAACAATACTCGACTAATCGGTTTCCTGTTAGAATATTGCTGTCTTCTTTATATAAAATTGATCTTCTTGAGAAACTCTTTCTGAAAATTATTCACTGGTTAATCATACTAGTAAATAAAACACGTCCTTACGCCTTTATAAACAAAATTTGTTTTTTTTAACTATTACCAAATACTATTGTTTGATATGGTTTTTTCTTGTTATAATGTTTAAATAGGTGTTCGTTAAATTATATTGATTAAATTATTTTTTTACTTAATTAGTACTTGTAGGTAATGAGCTATTTATTATGGTGTGTAATTCCTTGTCCCAGATACTTATGTTAGTTATGTAAATGGTTTTTTGACATTCCTACTTTATTTACATTCAAAAGATTAAAAATTGCATGGAAAGAAATTTAAAAAAAAAACCCAATATTTTTGGATTTGTTCTATTGGTAATAGGTTAAGTTAGGCTTGTAAAAACATTTTCTGTTGATTCCATATGCTGTTATAATACATCAGTTCATGAAGGCATGTCAAACTGTCACTAGTATTCATTAAATGTTTGAAGTGCTTGGAAAAATGTAATCTATAAAATGACATTGTCATAGTTTTAGGACACTGTTATACCAACATCAAAGGCAACTAACTTCATTGTTGTGTTTGTGGACTACAGATTCAAAACAATGTTGATTTCTACAAAGTGCCTTGTAACTGGTACAAAAAAAAATGTAATAAGATTTCAAGTATATGTAGGGTTATATAGGGTTATGATCAAACATGTACACACAAAAAATCACCAAAAACAGCTTCCGGTATAAACATCTTCAAAGTTACATTTTTTTCTAATTCCTAATTTATACAATAATTTGTTTTCTTCATTTTCAGATAGACAGCAGTTAGAAAATATGAGAAGAATCAATGCAAATAAAAGTGTCAAATCAAAAACTCATAAAGAAAAGAAAATTCTTATTCAGAAATTTATAAAACAAAAATATCAGGAAATTAGTGATAAGAATGAGAATATTAAGTTCCAAATAGATACATTGGCAGACATTCGACTGTTTCATATAGGTGTTTTACAGAAATATATTTTTTCTGTTGAAGAAGTTACCCTACCAAGGTAAATACAAACATGGTACATGTATACTGAATTTAGATAGGAATTTATCAGTTGAAATTAAATGTCAAATATAAATTTAAAAACAATGTCAACAACATGAATTCCAAATGAGGAAATCATTTGAGTCAATAAGATCAATAAGCTATTTCTATGCACACATTGTCACTTGCAAATCTGTGATTCCTGACTGGAAGCACATGGAAGTGAAGTAATTATAATAAATAAAAAAATCACTAATAAATTAAATGTAACAAAACAAAAGATGCAAAGTGATTACAAGAATGAAATATAAAAATTGAACTAGTCAAAGGTACAATCACCCAAACATAAATGGTAAAAACACTAAAACTTGAAACCGCCAAACAATAGAATCTAAAAGACAGAAATGTCACTCCAACATTTCAACCTAAAAAGCCTTTTTTGATGGTTGTTGAATATAGAATAAAAACATCAAGAACACATGAGAATATAGTGATCACTGGCCAGAATGAACTCTTTTTCACAGATTTCTAGTCCTTTGAATATATGGCGGCAGGAGGAGACGATGAAACTCCAACAATGCTTGTAGTGATACTTGTAAAAAGTCTGCATTTATCATGTGAGCTGTGTCGGATAGAAATCGACCTTATGCAAGTGCACATATACATGTGCATGTATAAGACTTTGATTGATTTTGGAACATTCAAATACGAAATAAAAGATGAATTTTGTCTGTTTGTAGATTTTCTTATAACAGTTCAATTTTCAAACAGTCACAGACTTTCTATAGAGATTTTTTGATGTATTGATATTTATTTGCATAAGGTCGATTTCTATCCCACTCAGCTCATGTATCTTTGATGACTTTATTGTAATCTTATTCCATTTAAAATTGAAATATGTAATGTTAATTATTTATAATGAATCACAGTACCATTACAGTTCATCCTACTGATATTTTGTTTTCATTTCAGTGCTTTGGAAGCCAACATGGCAGTTAGTACAGTGAGTGCTATTAGAGATGCAAGTCATATGACATACATTAGTGGGAAATGGGCATATACAAATAGTCTGGAAGATGGCAATTACCGTATAATTGTACCAACCTTACCCAGTAGTGGAGATTATTCACCTTATAATTTATGGGGTATGTTCCATACTTGGTGTCTGAGGCTTTATTATAGAGGAGGGGAGATAATTATGTCTCCCTTTGACAAAGGAAGACATAATGTTTTAGTAGTGTTTCTTCTTTTTATTCTTCTGGTTCTTCTAATACAACCTTGTCTAGGTCATATTACATATTTTTTTAATCAATGACATGAAATCAAACAGACCTAGACATAGAAAAATTGTCATTATACGATTGCACATGCTTGTCTGTGTATTTTTATTTATGTTTACATTAGTTCATATGACCATCGGAATTATGTGGAGATAATCTAGATGGTGAATTAGATGGCCTCTAGTCTAAAATACACAGGAAATGCTGCTTGATTTTTTTTGAGTTCATGTATTGTTAATTGTTTCTTTGGAACTCTTTGTAATTTGGATAGACGTTTTAGTATGTTATAAATCAAATATGAGAATTTGAGTCGAATCTGTGAACATGAATTTGACAGCTAAAGCCTCTTTAAATTTTTATTTTTTACCAATTTTATTGTGTACCTAATATCTCTAAAACTATTATTGATAGAATTTAACTTTTGAAGCAAAAATGATAAGCAGCACAAGATCTGCAAAGTAGTCAATAGGAATGAAATTGTCAATTGACCCCTTATTCTTGAACTTATGCACATAAATCACAATTCTAATCCTTTTTTTCATTTTTGCTTATCTTTAAAACGATAATGGACAGACAAAACTTGGTCCACCAAAAATGATCAGCAAGATGATCATGTAAAAATGCCAGATGAGAGATACAGGCTCCTTGGAGCTTCTAGTTTTATTGTTCTTTCAAAAACTTTATCTGAGTCATTCTCATAACTTTTTTGTTAAATCAGACTACTTTAAACAAAAAATTACAAACGAAAGTGAACCAACCCCTGGTAATTCTGTAGTAAGGTAGAGTCCCTGAAGTGGATATCTCGGGTATGAAGGGTCGTTATGATAAAGCACATAAAATGTAAAAAGTCTTATAACAACTACACTTTAGGGACTGCTGCAGAAAATTTATTTATCGACATGTTTCGGTGCCTAGGGCACCGTCATCAGGATACAATTAATACTTTGAGCATGCTTAAGTATAAAATCGGGTTGTCTAAAGACTACGTCATAGTATAGTGGTAGTTATGAAAGAGGAAGTGAAAGTGAAAGTATGAATAGAAAAAATATAAATAGATTGTCAACATGAAAATGAAAGTAAAACAAAATAAAATTGTTCATGTATTGAGTCTATGTTATTATTGCCTTAGCTGAAAATGTTATAAATTGAATGTACAAAAACGTGTCTGTCCCATAATTGTTCTGGTAGCTCATCTAGACAAATTGTTACATCGCTGCTGCTTGTTGTGAGGTCAATGTAATCTTCCTTGGTTAGGTCCATAACGTAACCATATTCATTTGTTGTGTATTGCGGTGTATTCTTTGAAAGAGAAGTATCTGAGTCTGATAGGTATAAGTCTTGTTCAAGGATGCTGCTTGATGGTCTTTGTAGTCTTGAAGTGGAAGGTTGCTGGTCTTCATAGGGTGATTTACCTGCTACTATTCTAAATGTTGGGGTTTTCCCATTCCATTCCTTTTTTTGGACAGCTATAGAAGATTACAACAGTATTCAACACAATCCACGGGAAATGGCAAAAGCCGTAGAAAAATGGAGACCCCCTTTGAAGCCGTCCAAAAAAAGGAATGGAATGGGAAAACCCCAACATTTAGAATAGTAGCAGGTAAATCACCCTATGAAGACCAGCAACCTTCCACTTCAAGATCTAGACTACAAAGACCATCAATCAGCATCCTTGAACAAGACTTATACCTATCAGACTCAGATACTTCTCTTTCTTTTATTATTTGTATCCTGATGATGGTGCCCTAGGCACTGAAACATGTTGATAAATAAATTTTCTGCAGCAGTCCCTTAAGTGTTGTTGTTATAAGACTTTTTACAATTTAAACAAAAAAGTTGATACTCTATTATAAACATAAAAAAGTGTATAAAACAAATTTAAAATTCTTATTAGTTTGTCAAGTGCCTCATGTTAATAACGTATCATACTATATACATGTATTGGTTTCCCAATTTGTTCACCTAGATTTGTAGCTGTTGATACAATTTAATAAATTAGTTTATATTGCAGTAAGAAGATCAACTAAAGGGTCATTAGTGATGTTCCCCTATAGTTACTCCTTCTCTACCCATGAATTAGGTCAGGATATTAAACTTTTTATATATATTTTTTCCCTAGTTCCATTTAATCTTTTTTTCCAGTTGCTACAAGTAGAGAAAATGGTGGAAATCCAGACAACAGTTTACAGAACCCAGGCCACACTATAAGTGGAGGTTTATCATTAACTAGTCAACTCCTGGCTGTTTTATCTTACATTCTTGATGTAAATTTACCATGGAAACAAAATTACAGGCAAGTTTTGAGTCATCATGGTCACAGCATTTACTCAGGGGATTAGGTCTATTCCTCAGTAATGATGCATGATGGGTAATACTATTTTGTTTGTGGATAGGTTATAATGACTGTTATCTAAAACTGATATATTTCATATGTCATATGTCATTGACCATGCGAGAACCCAATAATTTTCATTTTGTCAGCAGTTGAATTTATTAAGACATCAATAACTAAGTCAAACATGCATTTAATGAAACTTGGACAGAAAGGTTTCATGATCAAGAAATATCATCTGAAGAAATTTTTTTTCAGTAATTTACTGAAGGATGGACTTTTTTAAAGTTAATACTTAAAATACAGTCTAGAGTCGAAAAAAAAACCTATTTCAAACCTTTTTGGAATTTCAGGAAGCTTTTACAGAAACTTCTTTATGATCAAGATATCTTAACATCTAGAGTAAAATTTAATTTTTTCCCCATTTTTCCATATTTTACAAATGAATGGACTTTTTTTTTTGACAGTCAATATTAAAATACAGTCTGGTTACAAAAGTTATTAATTTTGAATAACTTTGTTAAACCTTGAATTTGATTAAACTTGGACAGAAGCTTTCTCATAATCAAAAGCAAGTAGTACCCTGAGCAACATTTCAATTTTGTTCTGATTCATTCTTATGTTTTTATACGACCGCAAAAAAAATTTGTGGTCGTCTATTGGTATGACGTTGGTGTCGTCATCGTCGTCTGGCGTTGTCGTCCGAAGACACATTGGTTTTCGCACTCTAACTTTAGTTTAAGTGAATGGATCTTTTTGAAATTTGACCATGAGGTTAAATACCACAAAAGGAAGGTTGGGATTGATTTTGGGGGTTATGGTACCAACATTTAAGGAATTAGGGGCCAAAAATAAGCATTTTCTAGTTTCCAGACCATAACTGTGGAACGGTGTATGGATCTCTCTGAAATTATACTACAAGTTTCCATACCACAAAGGGATGGTTAGGATTTGCTTTGGGGGGTTATGGCTCAAACCGTTAAGGAATTAGGGGCAAAAAAGGGGGAAAAACAAGGTTGTCCTGGTTAATGGACAAATACTTTATTACAAAACATAATTTAAAGCAGTGTAAGGGAGATAAATCAAATACATCATTGAAATTATCTCCCTTACACTGCTTTTAAATTATGTATAAAGTAATGGTTAATGAACAATAAAGATAATTTAAAACAGTGTAAGGGAGGTAATCCAAATACAACGTTTTGGTTACTTCCCTTACACTGCTTTTAAATTATGTTTAAAGAAATACATATTTATAAAGGAAGACCAGTAAAAATATCTGCAAATGTTGCATCTTTTTTTTTTACAAAAAAATCCATATGAAAGATTTGACACTATATTTTTAATTCTATTATAAAATAGATTAAGTTAGCACTATGGTAAATTTAAATGGGTAATTATGGTTGCCAACTCCATTGGAAATTTGAATTGAGATTATGACCATATCTTGAGGGAAAGAATTTTTTTGGGGAAAAAAGGGGGGGGGGATAAAAAGAAATTGTGGGGGGTCAATTTTTTCTCATTTCAGATTTCAGAAATTAAAAAGAATTATTCTTCAAATATTTTTTTTTCAAATTTCAAATATTGAAAAATTTCAAGAAGTAATCTTTAATTGCACAGTATGGCGCATTAGATTTGTAAAATCTTTGATCACATTTATTTATTTGTTATGCCGAATCTAACAGTGTATTTAGATTTTTAATTTTGGGTCCAGTTTTCAAATTGGTCTACATTAAGGTCCAAAGGGTCCAAAATTAAACTTTGTTTGATTTTAGCAAAAATTGAATATATGAGGTTCTTTGATATGCTGAATCTAAACATGTATTTAGATTTTTGATTTTTGGCCTAGTTTTCAAGTTGGTCCAAATTGGGGTCCAAAATTAAACTTTGTTTGATTTCAACAAAAATTGAATATATGGGGTTCTTTGATATGCTGAATCTAACCATGTATTTAGATTTTTTATTTGTGGACCCCGTTATCAAATTGGTTCATATTGAGGTCAAAAGGGTCCAAAATTAAACTTTGTTTGATTTCATCTAAAATTGAATTATTGGGGTTCTTTGATATTCCAAATCTAACCGTGTATTTAGATTTTTAATTTTGGGTCCTGTTTTTTAAATTGGTCTACATTAAGGTCCAAAGGGTCCAAAATTAAACTTAGTTTGATTTTAACAAAAATTGAATTCTTTGGGTTCTTTGATATGCTGAATCTAAACATGTGTTTAGATTTTTGATTATGGGCCCAGTTTTCAAGTTGGTCCAAGATAGGGTCCAGTATTTAAACTTTGTTTGATTTCAACAAAAATTGAATATATGGGGTTCTTTGATATGCTGAATCTAAACATGTATTTAGATTTTTGATTATGGGCCCAGTTTTCAAGTTGGTCCAAATTGGGGTCCAAAATTAAACTTTGTTTGATTTCAACAAAAATTGAATATATGAGGTTCTTTGATATGCTGAATCTAACCATGTATTTAGATTTTTTATTTGTGGGCCCCGCTATCAAATTGGTTCATATTGAGGTCAAAAGGGTCTAAAATTAAACTTTGTTTGATTTCATCAAAAATTGAATTATTGGGGTTCTTTAATATGCATAATCTAACCGTGTTTTTAGATTTTTAATTTGGGTCCCATTTTTTAAAATTGGTCTTCATTGAGGTCCAAAGGGTCCAAAATTAAACTTAGTTTGATTTTAACAAAAATTGAATTCTTAGGGTTCTTTGATATGCTAAATCTAAACATGTGTTTAGATTTTTGATTATGGGCCCAGTTTTCAAGTTGGTCCAAGTTGGGGTCCAAAATTAAACTTTTTTTGATTTCAACAAAAATTGAATATATGGGGTTCTTTGATATGCTGAATCTAACCATGAATTTAGATTTTTTATTTATGGGCCCCGCTATCAAATTGGTTCATATTGAGGTCAAAAGGGTCCAAAATTAAACTTTGTTTGATTTCATCAAAAATTGAAATATTGGGGTTCTTTGATATTCCAAATCTAACCGTGTATTTAGATTTTTAATTTTAAGTCCCGTTTTTTAAATTGGTCTACATTAAGGTCCAAAGGGTCCAAAATTAAACTTAGTTTGATTTTAGCAAAAATTGAATTATTGGGGTTCTTTGATATGCTGAATCTAAACATGTGTTTAGATTTTTGATTATGGGCCCAGTTTTCAAGTTTGTCCAAGTTGGGGTCCAAAATTAAACTTTGTTTGATTTCAACAAAAATTGAAAATATGGGGTTCTTTGATATGCTGAATCTAACCATGTATTTTGATTTTGGACATTGGACCATAATAGGTAAATTAAAAAAATTCAAGTTCTTAGACCACATTCTTTCTGTGTCAGAAACCTATGCTGTGTCAAATATTTAATAACAATCCAAATTCAGAGCTGTATCAAGCTTGAATGTTGTGTCCATACTTGCCCCAACTGTTCAGGGTTCGACCTCTGCGGTCGTATCAAGCTGCGCCCCAGCGAAGCATTTTATTTACTGATGTATGGACATAGTTTTTTCTCAGTGAGTATAACAAATGTACACTGATAACAGCAATGGCATGCAAGACACAAGGTTCCTCTGCATTTTTTTAAACAAATATATTTATGGATACATTAAAAAAAAAGTCTACTTTTGAAAGATACACATATTGTTATTTCTTATTTCTTTCATTTACAGTGTGTTCTGTGGTGGTGAAATGACAGAAAAGCATTTTAAGAATGATGTGGCAAGATTAAACCAGAATATTTTGTATCTGTGTTTTTCACAAGGTGTTCAGGAATATCATCAGTTAGATACCAAGAATACCTTACAAAATCTACTTTACTTATTACAGTGTCCTACTTTTGGCAGGTAAGAATAATGGAAAACCTTAGAAAAATTGGTCATTCACACAACTTTATCATATAAAACATATGAAAATAAAGGAAAAGATATTTCAACAAAAGTCTGTTATTTATAAGCAGGATTTCTGCTGGCATTCACAATTTTCACATTTTGCAAAAAAATAGAATTGTGGTGAAAAATAATCATTTTTGAGAAAAAAACATTGGCCAAAGATTTATAACTGTTCCAAGTCATCCTTCTTGTTTATTTATTTTCGGGTGTCCCAGACTTGTTCCTTTATCAGTAAACACTCTGCTTTTGACATTAAATCATCAAGTGTTAAGATTTTGACAGAAAATCAATAAGCAGCTAATTATAAAAAACTACAAACATGTGATAGCCATTTCAATAAACTACTGTCAATTCAGAAATTATTGCAAGGTTTATATTGATGTGTATACTTATATAAGGTTGTATTGTATAAATTTGAAATCAGATGTTTTGAAAAGATTGTTATCCACTTATACAACATATACAGTATTTTCTTCACAAGATCTGGAGTCGGTTTCACAAAAAAACTTACGACTAAGATTGATCGTAAGTTTACTGAATAGTTCATGACTTACGATCAATCTTAGTCGTAAGTTTTTTTGTGAAACCGACCCCTGATGTCTGCCTTGGTAAACTTTGAGATTAGGTCTATGCATACACAGCTTTAAGTCAGATGTTTTATCTGTAAACAGTTCATACAATTATTTGGTCACACTGACCTATTGTTTATTCAATTATTGAATGACTGGATATGTTTTGTTAGGTCCATCTCTTTTTACCTAACTGACTTTGGTTTACTGTTGATTTATAAAGTTAATTTTGATAAAAAAAAAGAAAGATGTAAAAGAATCACAAAGAATTAACTTATTGAATGTTTGATTGAAAAAATCAATGGGATTGACTCTCACTTGTAAAGGGTTTAATCTTTTAAATTTTTGACAATGGTAAGGTTTTTCAATGTTGTCATTAGCATCAGGATTGAACTTTAGATGGTAGAATTTTTTATTATCTCTTAAAATTCATTTACAACTTGTCCTCACTATGTACTGTTAAGAGCTGGAGCTTGATATATGGATAAGATACCTTTTACTATTGAAGACCTTGTGTTAATTTTTTGTTGTCCATTTTTATTGTATGTTTGGGTTGCTGTCTCATTTACTTATATCCAAGGTATCCTTTATTTGTAAAGAATGCATTTTGGCAAGATCTACCTTACTATGTAGTGTAGTTAGGCTTTCATGATTAAGTCTCTGAATTTGAGTAACTTTGATGAAATTTAAGTAGACGGCAAATTTTGGGACACCTGTATATAGTTGAATCTCTTTTTACCTGTATTTCCTCTCAAATCACTCAAATAATTGCCGTCAAATGTATACTGTAAAAAGATTTATTTTACCAGCATTTAAATTTTCGTAATTTTAAGGGCCAAACTTGTTTCCAATGTTTTATTCTTTTGTTTATCTTGTCCCTGTTTCTGATCCTCCATTGAAATCCAATTAAATCAAGGAGATAAATTTTCCCCCCATTTATCTTATGAACCACACTGCTGACTTTTCAGTTTTAGTGCATGTTAGTACATGCAAATTAATCTAAAAAGAAGATCCTAGTATTTTACAGTCTTATCAAATGAACAAATAACAGCTACAACTCCAGTTGTGACATCAAATATTTCATGTTGTTGGTTAAGGTGAAAATGTTGTATCATACAAATGGAGATGCTAAAGTGATTATTGGTCCATATAAAATTACCCCTACATCAAACTGTTTTCTATTAACCTAATTCACTTGACCTTTGTTTTCTCTCTTGTAGAAGTATACCAGTATTAATAAATGAAGAACTCTTACATTCGTTTGAGGAGGTAACTGTTACAGAGGAATGTAAATCTTTAGCGAACCATGACAATGATCAGGATGAATGGGAACAGGTGAATGAAGATCTAGCGGATATGGAAATACCATCACGTACATTTTATAGTATGACATCTGATGTTCCCTCAATGATGTACACAGGAAGACAATCAGAATCTGCCATTGGCATTGTTTCTTCTGCTGCTGCTTCTGTTTTTTCTATATTTAAGTCAAATAAGAGATAATATATATTTATTTTTAAACAAGTCAAAGTCTTTTTGATTTTGCAATGGAAAGTGTTAACCATTTTAGTTGCTGACCTTTCTAAAGTAAGTTCATGCACCCAGACCTCCTCACCATTTTAGTTTCTGACCTTTGTCATTATACCCAACCCTTTTCAAGTGGTCAGTATATATTATGGGGGTGTCTGTCTATCTGTCCTTCCCTGTCTCTTTGTTTCCTGAACCACTGGACATCCTATTTCATTTCTTCATTCCAATGATTATTTTGGGCTAGCTTTGGCAGTACATGGACTTTGTCATATCCACACATACAGTACCTTATTAGTTTGATAATACCCCTCTTTGCGAATAAGATTTATTTGGAAATTAGTAAGTCAATACTGAAGGTCACAGCAGCTACAAATACTGTAAATTCAGAAATTATTGCTATGTTTTTATTATTGTGAAAAATGCGACAGGGTTATAATCACAATAATTTAAACTCTCATTTTGACATTTTTTATATGAATTAAACAGGATTTTTCTCAATATGATTATCGCAAAAATTAAAATCGCAATAATAAATGCACGCAATAATTTCTGAATTAATAGTAGACTGAAAATTGGTGTTTGTGGTGCAACTTTTTCCTAAGAGCTAGACCATGTTCATATTTTCACATCAATATGAAGTTTAGTGTGTAGATGCATTATAAGGCGATGTGTTGGACCATGTTCACATTTTCACATCAATATGAAGTTTAGTGTGTAGATGCATTACTTTAAGGCGATGTGTTGGACCATGTTCACAGTTTTACATCAATATGAAGTTTAGTGTGTAGATGTATTACTAGTACTTTAAGGCGATGTGGCATATACTGTGAATATTTTTTTATTTTTGGGTATCAATTTTCTTGACGTCCAGGGATCACTCTACTCAAATAAATAATCATCGAACACAGAAAATTTAAATCGCAAAAATGTTTCATGTTAATATAGCTTGAATTACAATTCTATTGGTATAAAAAGTATCAAGTATGAATATTTGAAAGGAAAAAAAAGCATAATGACCTTGTAATAATGCCCTGTTGATTACAATAGGCACTGTTTCAATTTATTATGCCTCTCCAACTATGTTAAAGGGGCATTATGTTTTCCAATTTTCTGTGCATGCATCCATCCATTTGTCTGTCTGTTTCATATTAGGTTAAAGTTAAGGTTTAGGTATGAAAAAGTTTTGGATTAAGATAGTATGCGATCAACATAAAACCATGTTCATGAAACTTAGTTCACATGATCATTATTAAGTGAACTGTGTAATATGTAAATGTCAAATTAGGGTTTTGACCACGCTTTTGTGGTTCATGTAATAGTGTGTATCAGGTTAAAGTGTTATTTTAATGTTGGTTAAAGTTGGAAGTTTAAGTTGGTTGGTTGTTCCATCAACATGATTCTTAGTACATGTTGGTTATGAAGTTTTCAAAAATAAAAGAAGAATTTGTCTATGGACACAAATGCCCCCACTCTAGCTTGCTTTTGAACGAAAATGGGACGAACCGAAGGACGGTAAAAGGTAACACTTAATGCCTCCTTCGCCTTGCGGCTGGGGCATAAAAAATGATATACCAAATTGGGATCTTGACCCAGATTTCACGTTTCACTCAACATGGAACTGTAACAGTGGGAGCGAGGCATGGTGTCCTATGGATAAATATTTTTGTTTAAATATATTATGGTCTGAAATTTTATCCAGTAAAAAGTGCCTGTGGTTCCAACCATTCAATTTGAGATCATGATATAAAATGGAACAGATAAACCTGTGACCACTTTAACTGAACTCGACACAAGGCCTAGTAAAACTAGTACTGTGGATTCATTATTATTCAATGGATACCAATTTCTGTGGATTTTGTGGGTACAGGTGAACCACGAAATTAAGTGTTCAAATTTTCTGTAAGGTTATATGCAGAATTTGGCAAAACCACGAAATCAAATATCCACGAAAATGCAAGTGTTCCTCAATCCACGAAAATTGGTACCCACGAAAAATAAATGAATCCACAGTATAAGATAAGGTTATATAAGCATCCAATATACTTGTAAAAATCTCAAGAAAAACACAAATTTAATTGATGTTAATTTGCAGGCTTTATTTTTCATTAGATCTTGTTGTCTAGACTTAAATTCAATCAGAAACCTATAGATATGTCAATGTGCTTAAGTGACCTGAACTGCTTTTATACACTGTTAGAAAGTAAGAAAATCTCAAAAAATTATTTTATGAAATGTGTTATCATGAAATTCCATTTGATTTTAACGTTTATTTAAGTTTATCTCTTCTTTGTTATGCATTTGAGTTTCAAGCATCCACATGCGTCAGCTACTTCAACTTTAATTGCATCAATTTTCCTCTTAAGTGTACTGATGCTATCTGGACTATTTTGAACTGGACATAATGCATACAAGTGATATATCTTGTAAGTTTTCACTCCCCAGACACTTCTTATTCCTGCTGCTACTCCTGTACATGCTTTATCTCCTGTTTCACTGAAAAAGAATAGAATACATGTACGAGTATGGATCCATGAAAAATAAGTAGCAAATACTCCATTTTCTAAGATAGAGTTCAGCAATTTGTCTACTAGTAATTGTTTCAAACAAATCTCTCAATTGTCAGTCCTTATAATTGACTTTACAAACTTCACATATATATTTAGTGAAAGCAAGCTCAAAATAGAAGAACTAGAAATGCTCACAAGAGATATGTGCTACAAGATGCATAACTCGAGACTAAAACTGATAAGTGTGTAATGGCTGTTGACAATTATCACTCAACTTAGAAACTTAACTCTATTTTAGATTTTAGCAAGTGTATATATATTCACGGAGTGTGTACATAGTTAAAGACTTTTTATCCACATTACCCTCAAAAGAGGGGTGTTCCTAACAGAGGAAGCTTATACGAAGAAAAGAAGTCACCTAATTATTGATTAATTACAGATCAATATATTGATTAATTACAGATCAATATAGCACTGATTTTACAAAAGAAATAGATACCATGGCTTGCATTTTTAATGTGGATTTTAATTTTCCCTAATCATTCATCTTTGAGAGATAATTTACAGAATAATTTTTGTGTACTGTAGATCAAAAGTAATAGTCAAACAATTAAATTTGTCATTAATATGTCAAACATCTAACATTATTGATGTCAAAAACTGTCTGTGTATTGTTTTGTTTTATGTGTCTGCTTAATTGTGTAAGCCAAATGAAAAGTAAGGTAAATTGTATCTTAAGATTAACATGAAAAATGAGAAATCCAAAACCTCGCCTTTGTCTTTCTTTGTTGATTATCATACCTGTCAATCACACTGGTATTGTATAGTACGCTTACTTTATAGCAAGGCCCAAACTGGCAAGCAAATTGGCAAAACTAATGACATACAAACTTGAGTATAACTGTTCTAAAGATATAATTTTAAATTTTCACAGATAATTTTTCCATATATTTATTCCATACTTATATTTCATTTCATTTATATTTAGATGATAACACAGCAAAATCCTGTATGGATGGTAAAATCAGATACATATATATACACATATATGTCTCTGGTAAAATGGTTTCTTTGGAAAGATTTGAAATAATAGTTACGATATTTACAACAATGAATCTCAAAATCCTCAACAATTTCAACACAAAATACATATATTTTTTATATGTATCTAGGTCCACACAAGCATTGAAACTTTACACGTTGCACATGTTTGGTTATACTCAGATTAAACTTGATTTTGAGGTGGAAACACGACCAATTTTGAAAAAAGGTTATGACGAACCTTAACCCGGTTTTTGATGAAGAAATCCAGTTATAAAATCAGAATTGTTGAGTATGGCTGTAAGTTACGGAGACCTATAAGGTGTCAGACCACCAATTCACCCATTCCAAAAGTAGCCCTTCCCTGACAAAAAATAGTGCGTTTGATGTCATTGTTTAAACTAACCAACAAATTTGCAGAAATGAAACTTTAGTTGAAAGAGAAATATATGTAGACCATTTTGAGCAAAAATTTACTTGTCCATGAGTTTGCATTAAAAATTGAGGATTAATGCGCTCCATAGTATACTATTTGAGATTTCCAGAAAACCAGGCGGGTTATTTTTAGCAATACTTGTCTTCCAAACGTTATTATATCCTTAGAGACTATAAACATAGGTTGTGAATTGGCATGTAGAAAGATGAAACATATACAATTCAGTATATACCTGGTTTCTAGGAAGTTAAAAATTTAGAAAGCTGTGAAATTTGCAAAATTTGGTTGAGTAGATAGGGATTTTGAATTGGTGGTCTGATAAACTTCTACGTCATTTGGTCTCGGGTGGAGAGTTGTCTGATTGGCAAATGTACCAATTGGGAACTTTTAGTGGAACGTATTGCAGAACGACCGCAGAGCTTACATGTAGTGCTCTTAGGCTTCGCCGGTATGTATTTAATAATAACATATACTTACGGATGACATTTTTTATGTGGTATGTGCAAGTGATGGAATCCATGTAAGAGTTGACACAAATCAGTACGATTGTGACGATGCCACCTTACAGCTTCTACAGTTCTTAAATATGCTTCTGCTTTCTCAGCTGATGTCCCATTCTTCGTCACGTGATACCTGAATACATCGTTTAAGTTGACATTTTAAATGTAGGAAGATTTTGATACATAGAACATATATAGACACTATATCGTATAGTGCTTATTTACACAATAAACATACATTTTAAGATATATTTACAATACACTATAAGGTGCCCTTATCGAGACATTCAAAAAAAACTATAGTTTTTTTTTTTTATTATTTGGGAGATTTCATACCACCTCAATACTAGACACAGATTAATTTATCTCGACAACACAGCATTACCTTTGAAATCTATTTTTTTTACTTTTCTAATCGCATCTTTTTTCTGTAAAACATACAGTAAAATTCTGTAACAGTAACTTTTATAAATAAAAGTCAAACAGGAACAGAAATTAAGACCAAATGTAGTTGCGACTTTTCGGAGTAAAATTTCAACAAGGATACTAGTGAAAGTTTAACACGTGTGACAAACATATCGAACAGAGAAAAGTGAAAGTGTAACACGAATGGCAAACCAATCTAACAGAACAAAGTGAAAGTCTAACATGAGTGAATTAACAAATCTAACGGACCAAAAGAAGTGTAACATGAATAGAAAAAATCTAACGCATATGTAACGGAGCAAATTGAAAGTTTAAAAATATATGGAAAACAAATCTAACGAAGCAAAGTGAACGATAACGATCAAATTTTAATCAGATTTATTGAGTTTTATAGATAATATTTAAACAAAATCCTGTATACTCAAATGCAAAACACCTTTATATTGTGAAAGGAAATGTGTATATACTAAGTCAGTGATTATCCAAAGCCCCATGATGGACAACTGACAGACTTACATTTGCGTAAAATCTTTTTATCATACTCAATGACAAATACGATGAGGTCGAGACGTTCGGTAATTTTAACACCATACTGGATACTCAGGACGAAGCTGTTTCGCAGTTCATTTACAACGCAGACAATTTTTACAATATTGAAACTAGATTGAACAAATCTCATTGAAGCAGACTCAATATAAAAAGACAGAAAAAAAAAAATAAAACAAGTAAATTTCCGACCATTAAAAAAAAAACAATTTATTCGTTCTTCATCTAATCCATTAAATTGTAATGGTGAATTTTATATTAAGTTATGGTATTTTTTTTTGCGTTTTACAATGATTTGCTTACCGATGTCTAATTCCTTTTGCAATTGTGCGTGCGTGTTCTATCTTCTTCTTAAGATGTTCCTTTAGTGGTTCTTTTAAGCTTTTAATGTACAGCTTTTCATCTGCTTCTTGATTCCTAAAGTTAGAATCAGCTACTTATAATGTCACAAAGATCTTAGTTGCGTTGAATAACATCTTCACGTACATTGAAAAATTAGGTTATCTTTCATCAAGCTTAATAACATATTCAGGCATGAAATTTTGGGAAGTTTTGGCCGGTTACAAACCGGTATAAACTCAATTAAGCACTTTCTTAAATATATAATTCGCAACGTCACGTAAAATTTTGGTAATAAAAAATGATTGGAAAATTTCGTTCCATGCTGTTTGATAGTGGGATTTAAAAATACATTTATACGAACAAATGTATAGAGAATATTTACAATTAATTCACAACCATAAGTTCATTTTTTGGGTATTAATGTTTTGAGAAAATAGTACCGTACTTTGACCTATAATGGTTTACTTTTACAAATTGTGACTTGGATGGAGAGTTGTCTCATTGGCACTCATACCACATCTTCTTATATCTATGTTAACATTTTAATATTTCCATATATTTTTGGCTTATAACTGTTACTTGTTTGTACAGCAACTTATATATGCATTTTTTATTATGAAGGTCAAAGTTATGTCTCAACTTTACAAAATTATTATACAGATAGCCATTTTGTGAGGCTGATTCTTTATAATATAATTTTAGTACTTGAAAACAGGACTTTGATTTTATCAAACGACAGAAAATTATATTGTGACATTATGAATCAAAGATCTGAACGATAATACATTATTAAAAAAAATGATAAAATAAAAAAAAAACCAAACAAACAAACGCAGCAACATTCACTGTAAAATGTTTTTTAATGCACTTCTACGAAAATAATTTTGAGTTGCATTAAAAATCAGATGTATTTGTTTGCCTTCACGCATCTGATACTATATTTAAGCTATCATACATTTAGTATCAGCACAAGTTAGCAAGTTGAGTAGTCGTCAGTTTTTTCTTTTCTCTTTGAATGTTATACTTAAATATTTTTAGCTCTTGAAAACTTCTTTCTCAAGAACCTTGCACAATAGACATAACTTCCGAGTTTTACAATAAAAAAATACCTTTATTTACTTGCGTTGAAAATAGTTCTTCCAGATAACTTCGGTTGTTACTTACATATTACACAACAGTCAACTTAGTAATAGGTTACTAGATGTAATATTTTACAGATAATACAAAAACATTTGGTAACAGTTGTGAAATCATTACTCAGTACAACTTTTTCCTTAAAAAAAACAGGTCCATTTTAACGGTGGTAGATGGTAAGCGAAGATTATATGGTTTTGTTTCATTTCGTTACTGGTACAATTGAAAAATATCAAAGCAGTTTTTGCTGTCTTATGAGATATATGTTCATAAGTTTTGTATACATTTTATATTGTTATTTCAAGAGTTATATCCCTCTTAGAATGCATCATAGTCTACAAAAGTTATATCTCCTATAATCAGACAGATATTCCAAAATAATGCTATTTTTAAATTTGTGTTCATATTATATATTTCAAAACTGAAATCCCATTACTGTGTCACTATAAATCACCACTGTCTGAAAACAAAAATAATTTATAGAACAAACAAAAAGATACCTACTTTTTATCAGCTAAATTATATGTTATATAATGCTGTTTAATTCTGTGTTTCACTGGGTGAGGTATGTGAACAACACACAACGCTTCTGTCGGAGCAGGTGCTTGTACTGCTGCTTGCGACGTGGCATTGGCAGGTGCTACTACTGGTGCCGTGTTTGTTTCATTAGCCGCATCGCACCTTATCACCAGAAATGTAGCAAAACACAGGGATAACAACTGCAAATTGATAAATCAAATTTAATTGGGCCAATAAATAAGGCTATCCTTAAAAATTTCTTTGCTTGATGTTGCCTACCCATGCCTTGAAGGGGTGGGTAGGTAGGTAGGTAGGGATTTTTTGTTTTTGGCCAACAACATTTGTTACATGTTTTAGACAAGAAAACTATGTAAGAGCAGGAAAAATCTTTAAAAAAAAATTTGAACCGATTTGTGTCATAAAATTTTTCGGGTAAGTTTAGGTCGGTAGGTAGGCAACATCAAACAATCTAAATTTTATTTTTGGCCTAAAGTTTGAAAAGAAGAATTTTATACAGAATAATAACGAAAAAGTTAGCATCTTTAAGTTATTGACTTTTAAATTTAGTTTATCTATAACCTAAAATGGAAATCAGGGACGAGTTTTTCGAAACTGATATATAATACTTATGATAATGTTTAAGTATTTTCGTGAGCAGTACCAGATTAAGTGAGGTAGAAAATGATTGCTTATTAATATATATATATCTCTTCGAATCTTCCCCTTATAGATAAAATGTATAGACCTCGACTCTTAACAAATAGCCAACAGTTAAACAGTTATTAATTAAAAAGATATTGGGTAAAAAAAAGTAATAGAAGTTCGTTTGCTTTCGAAAAATTGTGCATCGGTTTAGACAAACGTCAGTATCTTTGTTCGAAATGTTTTTCTCTGTTTTATTAGTTGATGTTTTATTCCTAGAACTAATTCACTCTCACTAGTCGTCATGATGGACGCTTATCTAGGATGGAGATGTTTCAGCATATTAATGAATATAAAAATATAGTTTTACTTGATTTTTATTTAGACCTTATCGCTCTTTTTCTTTTCCTCACTAATTCAGAAATTCAGTACTGCCAGTGATCATAAAAATAGTCGTATGTAATCCAGTGATCATTTAAAAGTCATATGAAATGCGGGCGGTTGCTTTCCCCGAAAATGACGAACCCTATAGTTGACTCCTTTCTATGTACGTTTCATCTACGACCCAGACCTCTCCTCTCCGAATCGTATACCTTAGCTATAGAGAAGATCGAAAGATGACAACACGTTCATTTCTACAAATGCTTATGATGCTATCCATTTTAATTTACATGATTATCCTGCTAAATTAATAAAAAAAACTAATAGTGTACTTACAAAAATGTGCATGGTGATTTGAGAATTGTGTTGTTTTACCCACAGATTAACGCCTATTTATACAAAATACGACCAGGCTAGAGCAGGTTAACAGAACAGAACTGGTAAAAACTTGTCTATATCTATCATTTATTATGTTGGAAAGCTATAAGATGACTTTTATGATATGTTAGGGAGAGGTTTCTATAAACAACACAATGGTTTACTCATTAGCTAACCTGTAATTTAATGAAGCGATATAAGCTCATTTCACTAAGAATGATTTAGTTAAAATAAAGTCATTTTTTATTGACCTGAATTCAGAGGTTTCTCTATAATTGCTTGGCATTTTTCATGGTAGCAGCTTGAGAAGCTTTTGAGATCATAAGACGTAATGATATATTCAATATAATAATGTACATCTTGTACCTCTTGACCAGGTTCACATTACCATATAAGGAAAGCTCAAACAATTTTTTATTTAATCAAATCAAGCTTTAAGATTTTTCTTTTTTTTTCTCGTTTTAACCGTTTTATCATCGACATGTTTATATCAATAAGTCATTTCTTAACTCAAATATTTGTATAATGATTTTAATTTGAAAGATGTGCATATCTCACATTTTAATACCTTCAAGTTGTCACCTCTCATTTCATTTGTTAAATTAGTGGGGTTCGTGTTGCTCAGTCTTTTGTTTTCTATGTTGTATGTTGTATTTTGTATAATGTTGTTTGTCTTTTGATCTTTTATCGTTTTTTGCCATGATGTTGTCACATTGTTTCGACTTATGAGTTGTCCCTTTAGTATCTTTCGCCTGGAGCTCTTAATTTACGAATTGTTTAAACCGTAAAATTGTCTCAATGAGATTTCCAAGAAATATCAAAGACATAATATAATTAGAGACATCATATTTCCTTTTGAGGAATCCTTTTAAGAGGTTTCCCGGTTGATTCCTGAGGCTATTTAAATCGATAGAATATCTCCGAGAATTATAACCAAGCGGTGATAACTAAGGATAAATCAGTAGATTGATTGACTTTTTTATTGGCGTTGGCTTAATTTCCAGCAGCAAATAGTTTATGCATGTTCAGGACGAGATTAACAATGATTACAACAGGTAGGCTCTGTAAATTGGGGTCAACCGGGATGATTGGCAGGAATAGTTGAATGCCACTGGAAAATGATGGCACATCAGGTAACAGAAATTAAAACTTGCAAGAGGCCATCTACGGACCCCTCAAAGAGTTGTAAGGCTTCTTAGCGTGCAGAGAGCTTGACACTCTCTACACGAGGTATCAAATTGAAACGTCCCCATTCCGACCGCACGTGGCTCTGAATTCATACATTTCGCACAGCAAAGCGGACGCCTGACTTTGGCAACAGTTTTACTCTAAGAACTTAAACAATGTATTGGGAAGGTCCAGGAAAGATGTATACGTGAAACATGAGGTATGGCTTGTATCATATTATTTGTATTGTTGGTTTTTTTTGCATTAGTAGCAGATGAAAACGATCATCGAAACATGTTTTGTTTTTTTAGTAAAACATTGTATTAAAAGTTGTGGTAAGGTCGAGCGGTTATAAGCGTGTTCATTGGGACAGTCCTATGTTTAAGTAGTTGGGAATATTTAGGTAATACCATGTCGACAATAAGTTGTCAGACCATGCAGTGAAATGATCCAAAGCGCAACAATGGTCAGATTGTTTCGGCGTTCTTTGTACTCGGAAAGCCCAGCCAGACAACAAATTACAATACAGTGATTTCTAATAAGATATGTCGTTAGTTAATGTTTGTAGAGCAATGAAGTGAAAACACACTGTGGTGGGTTCAAAACGAACGTACCAGTTGACACTAAAAGTATAACCTAATTTGGGAAAGCATAAATATCCCTTCCGGAGGACAGTAAGGACAAACTTGTCATAAGAAAGAACTGCTCATATGCATGCTCTGTTACATCTGTTAATTTAGTCTATTATCATAGTTGCATCATATTGAAATTGAAATAATTGTTTTAATTTACATATACATGAAAGTAGTCTTCGTTCCGGCTTAACGGAATTAAATGTCTCGATAGAAAATCCACAAAATTACCAATGACGGCAGCAGATACATCAAAATAAAGTTAGACGAAGAGGTAACATAGCATACATACACTAAGAAACCCATTTGCTTACTTTCCTCCAATACGTGT